CTGACCACTGAGATTCTTGGTGATTTTTGGAAGGTGCCTCTCTTACTTATCAGCACTTCCTGGAGACTGGTAAACTAGTGGACTCAGGGAGGTCTTCTGACTTCACACAGCATGCCCATTCCAGCATCCCCACCTCCCTCAACCCTTTTGTTCCTTCCTCTTCCTTCCTACCAGACATAGCGTTGGCTTTCATTGGCTCCAGACTTCCAAGGCCACACGTGTGGCTCATCTCCATGAATCTTATCCAGGTCATAATATCACATTCAGTTCATGAAAAAATCTCACTCAATGAGTGAATTTTCACCGGGTAGCTTTGGAACATAATTCTTACATTATTCCCTGCCAAATCCTTGCGTGGCTTGGGTCCTGGAACCCTGACTAGGGGCAATAAGGAAATAAAAAGAAGTGATAGATGCACAGACACATGGACAGTAAAAGTGGGATTGGGTAATCTGGACTCTCTGACGGAAAAGCCACAGCACCCAGGAAACTCAGCATGTTTCTTGCATACAGTTGAATGGGGGCCGGGTGGGATTACCACATATGATTAGCCAAGGAAGAGTTTATTACAAAGAGCTAAACAAGGAGGCTTGGTTATTAGAGGTTGGTTATTACATACAGTAGAACAAGGAGACAGTTTAGTTACTCTGAGTAGGAGGGGTCGCTATAACAAAGGAGTCTTCAGGCAATAAACATCTGGACCGAAGAACTACAGCAGACAATTTTCCTACAAGAGTTCAATATCCGCAGCACAGACCAGAGGCTTTGCCTTCCTTCTAAGCCTCATCCATCCCTCCCACCCCCACACCCTGAAGGAAGACTTTGTAAGGCCCATGGGTCTGAGGCACTGGGGTCTTTGACATGGCTGTGTCTATATCAACAGTACACATTCACTCAGGACGTCACGCACTCCCTACAATCCCCCAGCTGCTGCGAGCACATGTTGGTGAACCCTGAGAGCTCCCTTCTTCGGATGCAGCCTACTCTGCTGACAATTAACTGCAGTTTCTCACCTGGTAATCAGGTGAATGGGTGACTGGGAAGGAAGAGGCCTCTTTCGCATCATCCCCTAAAGGACTGTGTTATTCCTTTGGGGAGGAGCGAGACACTCACTCATTCTGCGGGACCTGAAGGGTCTGGTAAGCAAAAATTCAGCGGGGGAAGTGGTATCCTCCAAATATTGCCATCCTTTGTTTTAAGATTTTTCCCAACAGTCCTCCCTTCCCTGAGTTTCTGAAATCCGGACCCTGTAACACTGTGGAAGGCTGTGTTTGCTCCTCTACTGTCTGCATTTTTCTTTATTTATGGCACCACAATTGCTCTAGATATAAAAACAAGTTCATGTATGAGAACAGATCTAGAGGGCAGTGTGTGTGTACCTGTGTATTCAGACATTACAAAATATCTAATTAATATTATATGTACACCTCATTTTTATATATGCTGAGAATAAGAACCTGAACAGACATGCCCAAAAATATATATTTATAATCTTGCTTAGAGGGTGTGTGTTAGCGTCTTAATTGTCATTGAGTAAAATAACACCTGGGAAGAGTGACACAAGTACTGGGTTCAGGCACCGTGTATCCCTGACCAACTTCAAAAAGAAAGCTAACACAGAGAGAGTGTGTCAAAGAGAAGCCAAGGGCTTATCCTGGACCTACAGGGCCACTCTGAGGACTTGAGACTGTGGGTGAGTTGAGAATGAAAATATAAGTTTTCCTGCTTTCTATGTTTACCGTCACTTCCAGGGTTCCTAGAATGCCTTGTGTACATCTGATGTGAGCCTCAAAGCAACCCTCGCCAACCAACTTACCACTGACTTCAGTGTCTGAAAACAACTTAGGGTTGAAAGACTCCTTTGGAGTCCTCTTGACTTTATACTAATTTTCTGATGTCCCCATATGATCTGTGGGCCAGGGCTTGTTCTGAAATGTTTCAGAAATATACTAAACATAAAGCCTATCAACAACATACCAAACATGGATACCTACCCAACAACATATTAAACATGGACACCTACCCAATAACATACTAAACATGGATGCCTACCCAACAATGTACTAAACATGGATGCCTACCCAACAACATACTAAACATAGATGCCAACCTAACAACATACTAAACATGGATGCCTACCCAATAACATTCTAAACATGGACGCCTACTTTGCCTTACAAAATATGCAGAGGGATAGAAGATACCACCTATGTTCAGGAAAATTGGAATTTATTTATGTAGGTAAAATACAGAAAGTGAATGGTAATACACATGTTACTGACATGAGATATAAAAACAAAGACAGCAGAAACTCTGAGATGGAAGAGGTAACAGAATTAGGAGTAGGCTTTTCCAGAATATTGGAATATGAGCTGGTCCTGAGGAGTAGGGACAGGAGAGCATAGAATGGTCACAGGCTTTCAAAGCCGAGGATGTGTCAGCAGTGGTGAGTGGGCCCAGGAAAATATGGCTGCCTCTTGAAAACCCTAAGTAAAACTTTTATTTTCCTGACACCTATTTGTAGAGGCCACAGGACAGTTTTCAGAAGTATATTGTTTCCTTCCATTGTGTGGAACCCCAGGGACAGAACTCAGGTCATTAAGATTGGTGACAGCAATCACCTTTATTACAAAGCCATCTCACAAGCCCTTGAATAAAACATTTTAATTAGAATTATAGCTCTGTGTGTGTGTGTGTGTGTGTGTGTGTGTGTGTGTGTTAGGTAAACTTTTATTCAGTTGACAAGGCTAAACTACACGTGGGTTGTGTGTGTTGGATATGCACGCACACACACACATACACACACACACACACACACACACACACACACACACACACACACACCATCCCAATGTCTTCAATCACTCCTTGATATTTTTGGTTGTTTTTAGTTTTCTGCTTGTTTGTTTGGAGACACATTCTCCCTCTGAATCAGTAATTCACTGTATCAGTTAGGCTGGCCAGCCACAAAGTGCCCAGTGTCCTCCTGCCTCCACCTCCAGTGCTGGAGTCAGAGGGGCACAGTGCCCCTTTTTACACTTACATTGGGGATCCAAACAAACTCTCAGATTGCTTAGCAAGTCTTTCTCCCACGGAGTCATCGCTCCAGCCCTATAAATTATACTTCTCGTTTTCAACATACTTAGAGTGTTTTTAAAGATTATTTCTTTTCCTTAAACAATTTTAAGTGAAAATTAAATTTACCAAGCCAGCTTTTTCGTATAAACCTTTCCCATCCATAGCTTTTCCATTTGCAAGCACTGTTTTCCCATCTCTAACATTTCCAGGTCATACCTTGAAAACAAACAAAAAAAAATTAAGGATTTTCTTTTTCTGTTGAACATAGTAAATACATTTTAACACATACATTTTTATCCATTGTCTGTTTTTCTCTCTAATATTTCCAGAATTGATTTTCACTGATAGAAGTACAATTATGTAATTAACAAATCAGTTACATTTCAGCAATTATTTTTCTCTGTAACACAGTTTACATACAAGATTTTCAGCCACCACTTTATTTTTATTAAATGATCCTGCTAGTATTTTCTATTATGAATTGTTGTAAGACTGTTAGCAAACTTCTTAGCTGAAACATGACAGTTGTACTGCCTATTCGCCTACAGATATCTGTGGATTGTCTAATTACAGTGAAAATATATTATGCTGTAAATCTAATTCATTTTAGCATCTCAGATACATTTGCCTTTTCCAAAACAGAGCTCTGTGGAGCTGGTAGAATGAATTTCAAGTTACAGATAACAGAAATACCTCTGATTTAGAAGGATTTACCAAAAGGATTTGGAGGTGGCTGGCAGAATCCCAGGAAGAAGGAAGACCTTAGAGCAGGGATCAAGGAGGAGCAGCCAGCAAAACCGGTCTGTCTGGCTATTGGGACTGCAAAAGCAGATTCCCTCTGCTGCCTCCTCTGGTGCCATGAACTCTGAGTGAGCAGCCTGGGTGCAAGAGTTTGGCGGGGGTGGGGTGAAAGGAGGTTGCAGGTTTGCCTCCCTGCTGCAGGAGATTCTGAGAGAGCAGACATGAGCCAGTTCCCACTCTGAGAGTGGTGTAGAAGTCTTCAGTAGAGAAAAGGGAGGGTCTCATGTTCTGAACTAATTAAAGGAATGACAGAGGCTTCCATGAACAGAGAGGAACTATGCTGGGTATGTGGCAAAGTGGATGCAAATTCTGTACCTTAACTACAAGGCTGTGCACCCCCAACCTAAGGCATTCACTTCTCTGTGTTCACCTGCTGCCAGTCACCTGTTCAGGTTCTCAGGCACCAGGTACATTAAAGATTACCAGAGATGGAGGCAGGTTTATGATCTCCCAAAGGAGTCTTTAGCAAGTGTTCCAACACAGACTAGCCACATCAGCATGGATAGGGCAGCACTTCAGGTGTAAGATGCCACTGTGCAACTTCAAAAGCAAACCGACTTTCTGAGTATCGTTCCAGCTCTTCTCAGGTAGGTGTTTATCCTTCCGTGTCGCTGATACAAATTACTCAGCTGTAAGTAAAAGTGTGTAATCACTTACATTTAATTTTAAGGATAATTTATTCTAGGTTTTGTATACGAAAAATGCCTGACAAAAAATAGTGCTATGTGAGTGTGAACACATGCGCATATGTGTGTGTGGTGCTGGGACAGAACCAAGGGCTTCATGCAGCTAGTTGAGTGCTCTCCACTGAGCTATATTCCAGTCACTTCCCCCAATCAGTCCTTGTAACGTTTCCATTGGAGCATAAAAATCACTAGACAGGGGCTAGAGGGTAGAGCCAGCAATTAGGAGCACTAGGTGCTCTTCCCATCACCCACTGCGGCAGCTCACAACCTCCTGGAACTCCAGTTCCAGGAGATCCCACGCTCCCTTCTGGCTTCTGCGAGCACCGAGCACACATGTGGTGCACATGCAAACAGGCAGGCAAACACTCATACACACAAAATAAAAACTATACATAAAATCTTTTTTAAAATCACAAGATTATTTTTATGCCACCCAAGGGTCACAGAATGTTCAGCTTTGAGATTCAGAGGATTCCACGGTCCTGTTTTCACTACGCCTAAAGCTGCTCTTCCGAGTTTCCAAAAATACGGAATATTTTACAGTGGTGATTAAAGAGAATATGTTAGTGGAATAACAGCATGCCAGATGATTTCTCATGGCTATGGCGGCCCCCTCCTCTACGTGTTCCTCATCGTCTCCTGCATCCTCTTTAAGGTCATCAGCAGGACAGGTGGTCATTAGCAGACCTCACCCACCCAACCCCCATTCAGGTTCTTGAATGGACCTATTCCTGTCGCTAACCATTGCACAATGATGTTTGTACTGCATCCCAGACAGCGGGGCAGGCAGTGCTTTAAAGTAAAGGGCTGCCCAGGAGAGTGACCTTGGTATTTTCTTCCCAGACTTCAGAATTATCCTGGGATTTCCAAAGACAGGAAGGCCCCTCTCATAACCAACTGAAGGTTGGGCTGCTGGTAAAGGGAATGCTAATGAATGAAACCAAAGGGCTCTTGGAACCAAGATCAGAACTCAGGAACATCGCTGTATCCGTTCAGAGTCATAGACTACCGCCACACATTTGTTCTTTTCTGCAAGTAACTTAACATGGTGACTGTCTCAGGGCTGTTTTCCCTATGGGATGCTGCTAATCAGACACGTCTCCTTGTCCAGTGTGAGTGAGACAGGCATAGTTCAAGCCTCCAGGCCTGCCAGGAGGGCAAGAAGCCACTTGCGGTTCTTGGCCGAAATCTTTGTCTGCATCCAGTTGCTTCTCATCTTGCTTCAGACCACAGGACCCAGATTCCTTCGGGCCTAGAGGACTCTCAGAATTGTCTTCACCTGGGCTACATTGTGTGGCGAGTATCATATAGCTTAATCCTTCTTGGTTCTTGGTTTCCATCAATGCAACTGGCATCGTGTCATCTGAATTCAAAGCAACCATTTTACCATCTTCACCTGTGAACAAATACGGAAGTTACTGCTGCATCCACCCCACACCTTTTGTTTGGAATAGTAATACAAAGGCTGTATAAAAACTGGGACAACTTCAACTTTATATTGCTGCTTAACAAACTTTTAGGAGGACAGCTAAATGCTCAAAAGACAAAAGTAAATAGGACCGGCTTCCTGTCGCTCAGTCTATGGCATTCTAGAAAAGAAGCAGGCATGTCACTGTAGGTGGTATGTCCAATTACATAAAAGACTGGATAAAATACCATGATACCCCAGAAGTGAGAGACTCCACTGAAACATGTACAACAGCTCACTGCCCTTATGATAAAAGTTCAGAACCCCAGGAAGCTCCTTGTCTACAATAGCCTTTGACCTTTTCACCAGACTTAACCATACAGCTTACTACCTACCTTTAAAAGCTTAGCCCTTTATATTTGGGAATTGACCTACTTGCTTTCAAACTCTATTTTTCTTTTCTCCTTTTGTAAGGTGTGGTCCTGCTATGCAGACCAGATTGGCCAAGAACTGAAAGGGATCCTCCTGCATCAGCCTCCCACATGCTAAGATTCCATTGCATACCACCATGCCAGGTTTCTGGCCGCTTGTTAAGATAAAAGATATACACAGTCTGCCAGATGTAAGGCACGTACTGCTTAACTGTAACACAGAGTCATCGCTCTCCAGAGTTGACATTCTGAAGGAAGGGGATGGGCAGTTAACGGATAGGCCCAACCGCGGGTGACAGCAGTTACTGTGGAGAGCAATGGGCAGAGCAGAGGCCTAGAGCAGTGCTTCTCAACCTTCCTAGTGCTGTGACCCTTTAATACAGGTCCACATGATGCGTTGACCCCCAGCCATAAAATGATCTGCATTGCTGCTTCATAACTAATGTTGCTACTGATGTAAATTGCAATGAAGTATGTGGTATGCTGAGGGTTGTTCAACCCTCTCCAGGGGTCACATCACACAGGTTGAAGACCTAAAGAACAACAGCATGGAAAGGAGCTGCCATTTTAAATAGCGTTCCCAAGGTATCCCTGAATGAGGTAAAAATCCTAGCAGAAATGCAGATTAAGCGAGGGAACTTTCCTTGTAGCTCTTTCCTCTTGCTTTAGTGTTTTCTTGTACACAGTACAGGAGGTTGAACCTAGAGTGTCAATCATGCTACCCAAGTCGTCTACACTGAGCTACATCCCTGGCCTCCTGTAGGTTTTTGAGACAGGGTTACCGTGAGTTTCCCAGGCAAACTTAAACTCTCGGCCCTTCTGCCTCAGCCTCCCAAGTGCGGGGATAACAGGACTGTGCCACTAGGCCTGCCTAGTCCTTTTGCCCTCTGTAGGCTCAGTTGTGCGGTTACTCTAAGGGCACTGACAGAGAGAGGAACGAGGCTTCCAAGGCAGGAGTATGCTAGATGAAGGAGCAGCAGGGAGCCAACACAGCTGGTCATCTTTTGCAGTGCACGCAAGGGAAAGGATGCACACCTGGCCAAGTCGAGAGGCCAGATTGGAGGAGGAGGGTGCCATGAAGTATGCTAATAATATTATGGTTATTGTTCAAATTGACACTTACAGAGCCCTTAAAAGTGATAGTCATGTGTTAACTTATTTTTGCCAATTCATTAGGCACGGCTATTGTCTACATTTAACGGGTCAGGGAGGTGAGGCATGAAGGAGCTCAATAATTTGCTCAAAGTCACACAGCTAGAATGAGCTTGTGTCCTGATGTGTCTCTCTGAATCTCCATGCAGTGTGAGAAGCAGTGAGGACAGTGTGCCCTGAGAGGGATGTCAAGTTTGGCTGGTACCTAGGGGCTGAATACTCAGAGACAACCCAATTTCTACTAACTGTGGCTATCACCAGTTGCACTACATACACTGAAAGCTTGCTATTTATAATAACAGCAACCGAAAATCAACAAGTAGAGGAAACAAGATACTTAACATTAAGTTGCTCAGTGGCCCCAACGGACTTAAGAGCAACTGCTCTTCATTAAGATGGTTTTCAGAGGCTTGGAGAAACCACACAATAACACCTACAGGTCACACCTTTCCGCTCCTGTTAGCTGCTTCACTGACAGCCACTTAATCCATCCAATAATGAACTGGAACACTTCCACAGAGCAGAAGTTTAATTGTTTTTGCTTTGTTGATAGTGAGGGGAAAAAAATGATCATTTATATGAAACAAATTTCTTTTTGCAAATTATGCTTCTGTGTGCCTGAGGAAAACCATTAGCCAACTTTGTTGGTTCAGAGTGCTGGCAGCAATATTTAGTAACTTGACCCTGGCAAGCTTTTAGCAATTAATACGTCTTGTTGCATGAAGAGCTCGGGAGAAGTGGTGGTGATGGGAGGACTTGTTTTGATACTTTTGTTTAAATAGTGTTCACTATAAAACCTCCAGCTCAGAGCTAAGGTGGATATTCTGAACAAAAGTGGCAGGCACTCAGCAACTTCTTTAGAGGGGAAATATTAAAATAAAGACTTCCGAGTAAGACGGGGCATTTAGAAGCGAGACATTCGCCGGTTGACTGGCTATGTTTAGAACAGCACAGGGGCATTGAGATTTCTTTCCTGTAGAACTCTCTGGGCTGGTGAGGTGATGTTTACACAAGCATGGGGATGAAGTCACTGGGATATTTTTACTAGGTGCCCAGATATGTTACTAATCTCTCTCTCTCTCTCTCTCTCTCTCTCTCTCTCTCTCTCTCTCTCTCTCCCCTTTTTCTCCCTCTCTCCTCATCCCTCTCCCTCCCTCCCTCCCTCCCTCTGTCTTTCCCTCCCTCCTCCCCTTCTACCCACTCCCCCTTCTGTCCTCCTTCTCTCCCTTTAGGTCAGTAGGACCAGAGGATAGGCACAGAATTATTGCTATTATTGCTGTAATCATATGTTGCTTCATTTAAAAATGGAAGAAGCCCTTCCAATAATTTTCTTGACTTCTACATTGACAACAAAGATGGACACTTCAATGCAATATTAAATATGCTTATCAGTCTACAACGCAGAAAAATATTATTTAACACATTTCTCTTGTATTAAAAAAATTACATTCAGCCAGGTGGTGGTGTCACACGCCTTTAAACCCAGCACTCGGGAGGCAGAGGCAGACAAATCTCTGTGAGTTGGAAACCAACCTGGTCTACAGAGCGAGTTTCAGGAAAGGCACCAAAGCTACAGAGAAATCCTGTCTCAAAAAGAAAAAAGAAAGAAAAAAGAAAAAAGAATGACATTCAGGTTTGCCTTACAGAAACTACTCTAGGATTTACATTTTTGCAAAGATGCAAAGCCCACTCTTTACTCTGTTTCTTCTCTCTTCCCTGCCTTTCTTCCTCACAGCCTTAATATCACAGCTTTAGTGGCTCCCATATTTCTTTCCCTTCCTTCACTTCAAAGAGAAGAATGATGGTTCTCTTTTCCTACAGCTAGACTTCTGTCAGCCCAGATTAGTCTCTGCATCATCATTGTTTATTTCCCGTTAAAGTTCTCTGCCCCATTATGCTGAATGAGCATGTCCATGTCTCTGATTTTATTAATGATACTTGTGGGTTGTTTTTTTTTTTTTTTTTTGTTGTTTTTTTTTTTTTTTTTTTTGCTTGTTTGTTTGTTTTGTTTCTTGGGACAAAGTCTCACTGTGTATCCCTGGTTTTCCTGGAACTCCCTATGTAGAACCAGCTTGCCTTGAATTTGTGATGATCTATGCCTCTGCTTACTGAGCGCTGGGATGTTAGGCATGTGTCATGACATTGGACTTTATTGCTAGTATTTAGGACTTCAATTCTCTCTACCAAGACTTAACATCTAAATCTGTTTAGTATAGCCAGACCAAAATGGTGCGTCATTTCTGGAAAGCTGTCAGGGATAAGTTCTTTTGCTCTGCCAGGTTGTACAGCCCATTAATTGTAGTGTAATGCAGAGAGTATGTGAAGATGTCTTGATGTTAGCATCATTTTCTACCTCTCTCAGTCTCTCAGTGAACCATTCAAAGGTCTATGAAAACCTTTGGTAGAACCTCAGGAAGAACTAACCTCTCAGGTTCATCAGGGCAGCCTCTGTGATTTTTATAAAACTCTCCTAATACACTGGAAAGGAAAGATTTCATGAGCAAAAATCTGAATTTTTCAAATATAATGCAAGTAGAGCTCAATAAAAATTAAAGGTAAACAACAATTATAATCTTATCACTCCCAAGATAAGGCAAGAGGATCATCGGTAATTTAAAGCCATCCTCAGTTACACAGGGAGTGTGAGGACAGCTTTGGCTACATAAGGCCCTATCTCAAATAAAAATAAAACAAGAATTAAATAAATAATAAAATACAGGTCAACAATAAGATGTCTGAATCCTTCTGGAAGGCTAGCTATTTTTGGAACATTCACCCACTCCTTCCTTCACTGGCTACTCACTGTTCCCTGGGTTTCTATGACAACGCTCGTTTGGGGTTTTCTTCCTTTTCTGTCGTCTATCCATGCCCACCAACTTGCTATGCCAGTCCCTCATATTCATGCATACCAAACTACATATTTCAGCAAGACATACAAAATTGAAAGATATCCATCAAAGTAATTAGAATGCTTAGTAATTGGCAGGAGGGAGAGGAAGTAGAGCCAGAGAGGAATATGGAGACAAACGGACTAAACAAATAAACGAAATAACGGAGAAGCCCTGCAGAGGCCAATGATGATAATGTGCCATAAACAGAGAGTCTCTAATTATCTAAAGTAAACTCTGCACTTGGAATACAACTGATGAAAGGTAGGGAGGACATGAACGGACTGGAGGGAGACAGCCTAGCATGCAGGGAGGACATGAACGGACTGGAGGGAGACAGCCTAGCATGCAGGGAGGCCATGAACAGGCTGAAGGGAAACAGCCTAGCATGCAGGGAGGACATGAACAGACTGGAGGGAGACAGCCTAGCATGCAGGGAGGCCATGAACAGGCTGGAGGGAGACAGCCTAGCATCCAGGGAGGACATGAATGGACTGGAGGGAGACAGCCCAGCATGCAGGGAGGACATGAACGGACTGGAGGGAGGCCATGAACGGACTGGAGGGAGACAGCCCAGCATGCAGGGAGGACATGAACGGACTGGAGGGAGACAGCCTAGCATGCAGGGAGGCCATGAACAGGCTGAAGGGAAACAGCCCATCACGCACATTTTTTGTCTACCTTAGATATGCATGATCTTTTTAAATTTTTAATATACATTACAAGGCATTTCAAAGAGGCTCACAACAAGCAGGATAATGACAGTGCCAGCCAGCATATATCATTACCCTTACCCACCCTACAGGGCTTTCTGTGTGCATTCCATTGTGATCCTGTTCAGTCACACTGGGGAAAAATTCTGAAGAATCAAGCTTACCTTCAAAGCCTTTATTGATGACTCCACTGGCATGTGCTTCTTCTCCACACTGAGAGGTATTATTTAAGGAAAGATTTCGGAATAACTGAAGCTGGTCTTGAATAGTTTGGAAAGTGGGTCTTTGGTCAGGTTCTTGAGCCCAGCACTGAGACATTAAATTCCACCTGGACATGTGGGTAAAGATGGGAAAGAACATGATGCCAGGATGTCGTTACTAATAATCCAGAGAAGGACCCATTAGAGAGCCTGAGTTCTTTCCATTTTCCCCGTGTTTAATGCAAATGAACAGAGTGAAGAACTGTTTGGAAGAGTGGCTACAATGTCAGTGCCTACAATACCCAGGACATTTCTTTTGAAAAGTCGACATTATCTCAGTAGTGATCAACTCAAGAGGAGAGGCGAGGAAATGGATGATTGGAAATGTCTACTTAGCACATCAAGCAACTAACACCTTTAAAAACGATTGAAGAAGCAGAAATTACTTTTTTAAACTTCACAGACAGACATAACAGAGACATTCAATGGCAGAATGAGAGGTGGAAACCATATTTGAGTCCAGGGCTGTTCCTTATACACTGCTGGGATTAAATCAGACCCTCTCAGTTCCCCAGACATTCGTAATAGGTTGACTGGATTGTCTTTTTCTGAATGGCTGCCTAAGGAAAGTCTGTATAGCACTTGTAACAGCATACATCCATTGATTCATCATGGATTTTTTAGACACTTGTTTTACACCAGCAGAACATTAGTGTTTCAGCGGTGTGGCTCCTGTCTTCATAGATGACATGGATAGCCAATGAAAAAGAGTGACATTTTATCACGCTGCAACTCAAATGAACAGGGAGGAAAAGGGTAGCTCTCCAAACATTGTCTATAATTAGATCTTTTTCGGAGTTCCCACCTAAAAGAAGACAGTTACTTCATTTAAGACAGTGTGGTATATGATCTGGTTCAGTCCACCATTTTAAACCATCTTTTTAGGTAATGGTCACATGTCTCTATAATAATACAGTTTGTCTCAGGACTGGGTTATTCCCACTGCAAACAGTATCAGTGTATCTGCCCAAAAAGAAAGAGGCGCATTGCTGTGCAGTGGCACCATGAGGGATGCCCCTAATCTTCACAATTGATCTGGAATTCAATCCAGAGTGACAGGTCTTACCCACCCTTTTTATAACTGCAACTAATAAGGAACCAAAGGACTCTAGCTAGATCTAGTATTTCCATTATTATAGTATTCCAAATTTCCATAATTTCTAAGCAGCAAATTTCTGATTTTTGAGAATTTCATTTATGAGTATCATGTATCCACTGTTTCCATCTTTCCCTCAACTCCTTCCATGCTGCCCACTCCCTCTCAACAATTTTACAACCTTTTCTTTTTAAATTATTTTTGAGACAGGTGTAGTGCATCCCAGCACTTGGAAAACAGAGGCAGGCAGATCTCTGTGAGTTCCAGGACAGCCAGGACTACAGAGAGACCCTGTCTCAAAAATTATTATTATGGTTACACATGCACGTGCATGTGCATGTACGCAAGCGTGTGCACACACACATACACACACACATACATCCACCTACTGAGTTCATTCAGCATTGCTCATGTGTACATGTGTTTAGAGCTGAGACTGAGAGAACTCATCTCTTAAAAAAAAGAATTTTTTCAGCAGTCATTGATTGTAGCTCTTTATCTAGTGGTAGGACCTTAGAAATTTTCCAGGCTGTGTTCATAAATCATCTGATGTTGCATTATGCAGGTCCTGTCTAGGCAACCATCTTGTGAAGAGTCCATGGGCACAGCTTCCCTGCCATGTGTAGAAGACACTATCTATAATCAACCACCTGCTTTTTTTTCTTTGCAAACCTATGAAGCAGATTAGAAATAAACAAAGGAAAGGATAAACAGACATAAATGGGGCCCGTGAACACGTAGGAGAAGAAGACACTAGTCACTGGAGCAGGGTGTGTACCAAAGTCAGGGAATGCACTAGAAGGGGAGAAAGCATGTGCACAGTCCTAAATTTGGAAAGAGCTTGGCACATTCTGAAATCTGAAGTGCAGTCATGGAGGGGAAGGATGGGATGGCATCAGAAGGGGAAGCAGGATCACACGGGTCACACAAACCAGGCAGGGAGCTACAGAGGTCTTAAAGTACACACACTATATTCAAAAAGGATAGTTCTCACTGATAGATGGATATTGGATTGTACAGGAGCCAAATAGAGGCTGTAGATTAAAGACTAAGAGATATTATGGTTTGGACTAAGGTGATGTCAATGGAACTAGAACGAGATTATATTCAATTACTAGGTGACAATTACCCAGAAGTCATCATAGATATTTAAGTATCTATTTCAGGGACTATAATGAGTCTTGAACTCATTATCATAAAAACTTCACTTGGATTTATTTCCTTTCTAGACATGAAACTCAAGTCCACTGAATACCAGGGTATTGTGATAAACACTGATTACTTTCTGTGGACTGTTCTGATCCCTTCAAGGGATAGATAGTCTGGTTATAGAATGCCAGATAGCTTTATTTTTATTATGTTAGAATCATATCTGAGAAATTGACAACCCTTTTTTATAATCTGTGCTTTGTAGGAACAAAGCTGACTGACAGATTTCACCAATGAACCATTCATTAGAGATAAGATTATAATTGATATCAGATTGTGGATCTTAAGGCAATAATTAAAACATAATCTGGAGAGCTGATCTAGATGTTTTCTTAAGATTTAAAATAAGAAAATAAAGTAATTCTTCAAGACAGCACTTCTGAAAATAGAGATAATTATCTAGATACTAACAAAAAGATGTCAAGACATAGAATTTCAGTAACCAAGTGTTAACTGTGACCTACTTAATAGACACTGCTTGGAGGAGCAGAAGGAAGAAGGGGGGAGAAGGCAAAGGTAGGCAGAGAGGTCACCCCAGTGAAGTCTCGTGTTTTATCTGTATAATTTGTTTACTCAGATAGGCTTAATATTTTTTGAAAGATTTATTTATTTATTATGGATACAGTATTCTCAGTATTCTGTCTGCATGTATGCTTGCAGGCCAGAAGAGGGCAATAAACTGGCAATGGGATAAAATGAAGAGGCTTTTAAGAATTTAATAATCCTAAGAAAGCTTTACTTAGGTCTTTCAAGTAAATTAACAATTACGGCTGTGTCTCGGGGGTGGCTTCTTACCAACGCTCACGTCAGTGTTTAGGACTGTACATTACACACCTCGAATACCCGGGTCTAGATGCATCTTCTGTTTCACGGGTTCATTTAAATTTGTGGGGATGCTTGTTTTAATTCTAGAAAAGTATTCACTATACTTGGAGCAATTCATTTGGCTACGAACTGGGCTTCAAATCCCTTCACTCACTATGTGGCCCTTTGATCTTCTTTACATCTTAGGCTTTGTTTCGGTGGGGGTCCCCCCCCCTTTTTTTTCTAAAACAGCATGAGACACATGAGACACATTAGCTGTGTTCAGTATTACTCTTCATACACATTAAAGTCCTTGGATTCATGAAGCCATTTAAGTTCGACAGCAGAAAATGTGACAGCATCTTTTACTTTTAAGGGACCAAGTGTCTGTATTTAAATAAGTCACCTAAAACACGGACTTCAAGAATCCCTCCTTTCATTGTGTCCAATCCCAGAGAGACTTAGAATCGAGCTGAACATTTTTAAGAGCAAAATGATACGTTATGATTCCTCTGCCTGCCATTGGTGCCTCCTACGTTTGAGGGTCTCTCCAATAAGGCTGTCACTGCGATGTGTCTATCACGGAGGAGAGGGGGCGGGGAACGCGGGGCGTGGGGAGGGGGGCGCAGTGCTGGCGGCAGAAAGCGCTTACATACAGCAGGTTTCCCTTTGATCCTGTTTTTTCACAGGTGTGGTGGTCGGTCACAGTAAAGGCTAGAGAGAACACTGTTGACTTTGCTTTCCACCCTCCCCCATCCCTCACCCCCACCCCTCCACCCCCATCCCCGCCTTACACCTGAGCCTTCGAACAGAATCCAGGAATGCTCTGAACGCCACATTCCAGCAATAGCAGAGGAAAGCAGGGCATCCCGAGCTCACCTGACCCAGAAAGCAAGCAGTATTTAGGTGGTGGGCGGAGGTGCAACGTGGCTCAGCTCAGACTCTCAGACTCTAAGCTGGGCCTGTGATCTCAGAGAAGCGCTTCAAATAAAACTTAGTTGCCGTGGACTCCAAGAAGAGTAGTTAATCTTTATCGTGACAACTTAAGGCCATGGCCAGATGGAATGGCATGAGAGCTCCACTTCCCGGTACACCTCGTTTCCACCGGGGCTGTTAACTCTAGCCAGGGCTCTGCAGACTCCTGCAGCTAGAAGTATTGCTTGCCTTTTTCTGATGCTCAAATGAACTTCAAAATCATCAGCGGACAATCTCGGTTTCAAAGAAGGATATTTATATAAAAAGTAGGTAAATACTCGATGGTATTGCCGGGGGTATTTATTTTTTATGCTGTTATTTTGTTTTGTTTGGTTCTTTTGCTAATATGTCATGGTTGCTGACTCTATTTTTGCCAGGGTTTGTGTGTGTGTTTGCACCTGTGCTTTCCTCTGGATCTTTGTTTTTCTGTTCATTTGTTTTGTCCTATGTGGTTTTGTTTGTGTTTGGTTTTGTCTTATTTTATTACTACAGTCTTTAGATGTCCGTTCGTTTCTTACGAGAGAAACCAAGAAGGGATGTGGATCTGGGTGGGCGAGGAGGGGGGGATGATCTGGGTGGAGTTAGGGGAGGGAGAACCATAATCAGAGCATATCACATGAAAAAAATCTATTTTCAGTTACAAAAAGGAAAACAATAAGGTCAATAATGTATTCAGCTGGGAAGTTAATTTAAGATAAAAGTACACAAAATGTTATCCTTTCCCCACTCCTCGTAAGAACATTCTAGTGCTTCCTTCCTCCTTGCGTTTCTAGTACATTTGAGTAGAGCTAAGCCTGAGACACATATGCTTTCTGTTTCATGGCACATCCGTTTATACTCCTCGCCATTGTCCCAAAGCAAAACACGGAAACAGAGTAAGACTGTATAATTCAACCACCTATCCCTTAAAGCCCATCCAAAACTGCTGCGTGATTCTGATGACACGTGGTGCCGCCCCCTGGCAGAAAGAAATAACATAAAAGACAAAAGTATAAGAGCACAAAGAAATGTTTGTGTTATTACGATTCTATAAGAAACTTATGAGTGCTCCAGAGGTCAGCTTTCCAGCTGTGGAGTTAACTAACATTTATTTCACGTTTAGACATCCTAGTTCCTCCCTCAAACACTAAATAAAATGTTCTGTATAAGTTCTTTAAGTCAAAGAATTTCCATGTCTCCCCACAAAAGACTCATGAATCAGGTTAAGGTGCCGCTGTCAAATGTGACCAAGTGTGTATTCACCTGAAAGGTTTAAAGGCTGAATCAGAAACGTGTGGTAATTTATATCTTCTGGCCAGAAGATTGAAATAATGCAGAAACATTCACCAGTGCAACATCCAACCAAGGTGCCCAACTCTTAATCATTCTTTGGCTCAAGTCTAAATAGTCCTGGAAATAACACGGCACTGTCAAGGCAGTGCAACTGTGGTGTGCGTTGGCATACTGCTAATTCCTTCTGCATTTGTCTGGACCACACAGTTTAGCACTTTATTACGTGCTGGCTGGCCACCTCACTGCTGCCTCTAACGTCTCATTCGGAGTACATTCCAAGATGTGCAAGAGCTGTGACCCTGATGTAGAGACATCTGTACACATGATGTTTGGCTTGGCAGCGTATGCAATGTTTATACTTGCTGGTTTTTTACAACCTTTTAGGTAAAACACCTCTTGGACAAAGTTCCAAGATGACATTTCTGTTGACAATGTCCACGGGAAGTGGATTTGTATTCACCATAGCTGAATTTTTTTCTTCATTAATTGAGCTCAAATCACTCACAGTTGGAGGCAACTATTAGAACTCAATCATAGCCAGAATCAATTGAACCAAGTCACTCACAGTAATTTTGTACTAGGTGTATAAATAAATAAATCAGTATAATTTATAGTAATACTAAATCTCATCGATCAATATAAGCTATATCAAAAAAACAGTCCAACTTTTAACTAATATATTCCTGTTTAATAGAATATTTTAAGGCATAGATCAAGAAAGTATCCAAATAAAGATTCTCAAAGTAAAATAAAGCACACACGCATAAGCCCACATGTGCACACACAGACACACAGAAATCTTATGTCTATGTATTTGTATTTACTATGACTACAAAAATTTATACTCGCCAAAATTTTGTATTGAAGCAAAATACAACATGCAAACATAAGAACAAAGCCATGCTGTATTAAGTAAATTAAATTCCAGCCTTGGTTTATATTTTATATGGGATGTACAAATATATAAATCCCACATATATCACATATATTAAAAGAAAATCCCCTGTTTTCTTTTAACAGGCCATGCCCGTGAGCCCTAAGACTGCATGTGCACGTGTTTCTGTTTTGGGGGTGCTTATGCTAACATAATTAACTTACAGATCATCAGGACAATTTCTTGGTGGCTCCAGTCTCCCTCCTTCTTGCACATAGTTTAAAACATCAAGGTTGGAATGCGCTGGATAAGGTTGATGACCAAGAGTTAAAATCTCCCAAACCAGAATTCCAAAAGACCTAGGATGTTAAAGGGTTCTCTTTAATTATATTTATTACAAACATCAGGTTTACAGTAGCTTCTCCAACATCACAATTCCTGGGGCTACAGGGCCTACTTTGTGATTGGCATTACTGGCCTTGTAAAAAGCAAATAAGAGACTTAAAAGAAGGTTGGTATTAAGAAAAAGTAGAACAAGACACTGTGGATGAGCCACACTTCAAAGATGGTAGAAAGGCTTACACACAGGAAGACCCAGGCATACATGCCGGCACATGCACAAACACACATGTACACAGAGACAGAAGCACACCAGAGCACATACAGACACGCGTGGAGGTGAACAAGGAAGTTTATCACCATTTTCTCCCCCTACCCTAAATCTGAAGAGGATAAAATGATGACAAACATAGAGAAAAAAAGTCATGGGTAAAAATGGATTGCTGAGGGCAAAGTTTCTTCTCCTGTTTGATTTTTTTTCTATTGCTTAAACAACTCCCTGAACGAATCTGTAAACTTTTAGCACCTCTAATCAAAAGTTAGGAACAGAGAGCAAAACTCAAATATCAGGAGACCAAATTTCCCCAATGTCTACATTTTTTCATGATCCATGACTTCAAGTCTATCTATAAACTACAGATGAAGCACTCCCTGTAGACAATGCCAGGACACTTTTCAGAATGCTACTGATAAGTACAATTTCTGCTAGTCACAACCAGACACACCTTTGGTGTATAGCAAAATGCTTTAAATAAATGCATCTATTTCACGTAAAATTTTTAGATAAATGATAAAACATTATTGTGAGAGAGGTGTAAAGAACTTGAGAGACATAATAGTTCCCCTTGACTGACTGCACACACATCATACACACCAAGGTGGGGGAGAGAATAAACAAAATAATTTATAAAAGAGCAGAATTATACATTCTGATATTTGACACATCTGCCCCCATTTTTCTGTGTTCTGTGTAGCTCACCATACATCAGACTGAGAAGTGAAAATTCCATCCATCAAGTTTTCTGGAGCCATCCACCGAACAGGAAGCAGGCCTTCCCCTCTCTTCCTGTAATAATCGTTTTTATAGATTTCCCTTGCCAGTCCGAAGTCACCAATCTTGACTATCCGAGGACTGGTGTAGTCTTTCCCAGATACAAGGCAATTCCGCGCTGCCAGATCCCTATGGTAGAAGTTACATTCAGTAATGATAAATAACATTCTGGAGGTCACACAAGTAATGCCAGAAGGTCTGGAAAGAAGGGAGACGTCTGATGACTAACGCTGACTGACAAGTGGACAGGATCGAGAATCACTTAGGACAGATCTCTGAGCGTGTCCGTAAGGAAATTTCCTTATTTGGTTGCTGAAATGCGAGAAACTTCCCCTAACTGAGGACAGCTATGGGGTAGGGTCTCACATTAAATGAAAAGGAGAAACTCGGCTAAACACCGATGTTCGGCTCCCTTTGCTTTCTGAGCACAGACGCAGCATGATCGGCTGCCTCACATTCCTGCTGCCATGGCAACCTCACCATCGTGCATTGTTTCCTCAAACTATAAGCAAAATAAACCCTTCCTGTCTTCTTTAAGTTTCTTTTGTTGAGCATTTTGTAAGCAACGAGAAAAGTAACTAATATAGAGACTTCTTACAGTATTACTGATCCTTTGAAGGAATGAAACTGTTTAACTCTCTAGAGTGAACTACCCAAAAGTCGCAATTGTCATGTGACCATCCAATAGCCTTGTATCCAGAATATCATAGTACCTGTGAATGAAGTGCATTTGTTCCAAGTAGACACAGCCTTTAGAAATATCTACACACACGTCTACAAGGTCAACCATGGTGAGTAGAGGGCCATGAAACTGGAACAGATGAAAGAAACATTATAAGTACTTTCCCACTTGGCAGAAAATACATACACATATGCATGAATATATATATATGAATATATGTGTCTATATGAATGTATACTCTTGTATAAGATGTTCTAAGGAAATTTTTTTTATGATTGTAAGAGCCCAAGAGAAAAACAAACAGCTATATAACATGGTATCAAACTGTATTTATAAATTTGAAATCTAGTTCTGCTATCAATTATGTGAAGTTGCTCATTAATTAAACAATTTTCTTGCATGTGAAATGGGCATATTATGACAGACTTTTCAAGATTCAAAATAAAACAGATATACAATATTATCAACATACAATAAGCACTTAATAAATAAATGGTATCTGATCATATAGTAGTAGCAATAGTCTATTAAAATAATCTATGCTATCTAGATTAATGATTGATTCAATGACTTTATTTATGTTAGTCAGGACAATGGGCTTGTTTTACATAGGACCTCCCACCCTGTAAATTATTAGCAAAACTATCTTTCCAAATTACTTTTTTCATCTAAAAAGAGCCAGAAGAAATATAGATGAGTTTATACTTTTTGAAAGTATAAACTCTATACTAGTGAGGGGGAAAAAAAAAAAGTCAGTCGAAATTTTTATTAGTAGCACATGGAGAAAATTCAAAGATCCTGCCTGGAGGCCATAGTCATACGTTGAGCCTTTCCATATCCCTGCAATTACCTTGGTCCAGGCCTTTATCATCCCTAATCTGATGTATTCAAAGACTCCCCGTGTGCCCAGCCTCTTGTCTTTTCATTAGCTCCTTTGTTGAGGCTAACTTCCTGTAGAACCCATTATCAGATGCTGGGCACAGCTTCATGGCAGCCCCAGGCTGCAGCAGGCTCTCTATCTGCCCATTCATTTCCCCTTTGCTTCTCCTCTCAGAAGCTTCTCTTCAGTTTCTCTGAATTATTTGTCCTTCCTTAGATCTGCTCTGTTTTCTAACCCTCCGCTAATTTTTCCCTGCTGTTACCTCACTGAGAATAGACTCTTATTCTCGATATCGTCCACATCCTTCAGTGAGCATCTCAAAGGACTCCCAAACTCATATAACCTTACAATCTGTCAATTACTCATGCAGAGGTGCTGCCACGTGCTGTCCTGCTGCTTTGCTCAGGTCATAAAAGTGGAGGTCGTCTTCATATCCCGGGACAGAATACCACCAAGGTGCCATGAAACAATAGCTATGACTGATTCACCAGGCTCTGGCCTGCTGTTCTAAAGTAATCTTTATTAGGATTATAAGAACTCATTAGAAAAATCTACAAATACACATGATGATACACTATATCTGCCAATTTGAAACATAGTTCTGCTGTTAATTCTTTGACTTTGCTTAAGGCAATTTCCTTATATATAAAATGAACACTATACTGCTGACCTTTCAAGATCAAAAATAAGGTGTGTAACATTGCTTATGTATAACAAGCACTTCCATGTATCACATCCCTTCCAAATCTGGCTCAGGTCCACCAGATCCCTATGTCATGGCCTATGTCTGAATCCCGCAGGCATCCTGACTGGCTGGTTAACTGCTGTGTGAACAGAACTCTACTTTGCTATAGGCAAATCCCACTTTACTTGTAAGCACTTTATTACTCTCTTAAACCTCATACCGGTGATTATCACCCTGCTCCCTTCTGATAAGATATCCATGTTATGCCTGCCCACCTGCCTGCCTGAACCCCTAACCATGCCTCTTATCCATTGTAAAAGTTGGGACACCCCACTACCCCATATTTGGCCTCCTGATCTTTAGATGGTCCCATCACCTGCCACTTGTTGTGCCTTGATAAACTCTTGTCATATTAAAACATGACCAAGGTCAAGTTAAATGTTAATCACTCAATGAAAAAGTAGTTGTTCATCCTTAGCTATGAGGGAAATTTAAGTCAAAAGGACTCTGAGATACCATTTTATTTCTGTCAGAATGGCTGACATCAAAAACGCTAATGACAGCCTATGTTGGAGAAGATATAGAGTAAGGGGAACACTCCTCTGCTGCTGGTGGGAGCACAAACTTGTACAGTCACTTTGGAAATCAGTATGGTGGTTTCTCAGAAAATTGGGACCCAATCTACCTCAAGACCCAGATATATCATTCTTGGGCATATACCCAAAGGATGCTCAATCATATCACAAGGGCATTTGCTCAACTATGTTCATAGCAGTATTATTAATAATATCCAGAAACTGGAAACAACCTAGATTTCCCTCAATCAAAGAACGGATAAAGAAAATGTGGTACATTTACACAATGGAATATTACTCAGATGAAAAAAAAAGACATTTGCAGGCAGATGGACGGAACTAGAAAAAAAAAAATCATCCTGAGTGAGGGAACCCAGACCCAGAAAGATAAACAGGCTATGTACTCACTCATAAGTGGATATTAGATTTAAAGCAAAGAATAATCAGGCTACAATCCACAGTCCCAGAGAAGCAAGATAGCATGGAGGATCCTAAGAGGGACACATGGATTTCCCTGGGAAGGGGAAATAGATGAGATTTCCTGGGCAAACTGGGAGTGGGGGTGGAGAGAAGAAGATAGGGGTATGAGAACATGAAAATTGGGTTGGTCAAGTTGGGGGTGGGATGGAGAGGGAGAGTAATGAAAGAGATATCTCGATAGAGGGGGGCCATTTTAGGGTTTGGGAGAAACCCGGTGCCTGGGAAACTCCTAGGAATCCACAGGATGACCCCAGCTAAGACTCCCAGCAATCGTGGAGAGGGTGCCTGAACTGCCCTTCTCCTGTAACCAGATTGATGACTACCCTAATTGTGATCACAGAACCTTCAGCCAGTAACTGATGGAAGCAGATGCAGCTGTCCACAACCAAGCACTGAGTCAAGCACCCAGAGTCCAGCTGAAGAGAGGGAGGGGCGGTTGTACAAGTCGGGGGAGGGGGAATAAGATCGTGATTGGGAAAACCACAGAGACAGCTGACCTGAGCTCATGGACTCTGGACCAACAGCTAGTGCACCTACATGGAACTTACCTAAGCCCTCTGCCTGTGAGTGACAGTTGTGTAGCTTGGTCTGTTTGTGGCACCATTAGCAGTGAGATCAGGACCTGTCCCTGGCGCATGAGCTGACATTTTGGAAACCTATTCCCCATGCTGGGATGGCTGACCCAAACTTGATGCAGCGGGAGGAACTTGGTCCTGCCTCAACTCAACACCCTTTGTTGACTCCCAGGGGAGGCCTGTCCCTTTCTGAATAGAGATGGAGGAGGAGTGGATGGGAGATGGGGCAGGGAACAGGAAGAGAGGAGGGAAGGCAAACTGCAGTTGGTATGTAAAATAAATGAAAAAAATTAAGAAAAGAAAAGAAAGGGAGGGGAAAAAAGGATAGTTGTTACTGTTACACCGCCTGTCTTGGTTTTGTCCAAAACACGCAGAATCCTCCAGGGAGTCGCCCCTGATCTCCTGAACTGAAAACCACTCTCCTTGCTCCATATTTTAGCAATGTACTCTCTAAACCGCTCTAAATGATCCTTCTGCTTCTTTCTCATGCGGATGGCATAGAGAGACACACACAGTATATAACTATGGCCTCCACGCAGGAGCTTTGAAATTTTCCACAGTCTGCTAGTAAAATGCCCTGTGACAAGTTCCTTTAGAGCAAAAGCCACATTCTCCACTGTTCTACCACTGCTACCTAATGAAAAGCTAGCAAATGCAATTGCATTGAGCAAACAGCACATTTACTTTTATATTATTTGTTTGTGATTTTCTACCTTAATATGATTCTAGGCTACCAAAACTTAAAAAAAAAAAGAAAGCAAAGACAAACTTAGAAAATGCTTGATTCAATGCCGCTGCTTCTAGCATGATGCCTCTGAATACTCGTGTGTGGAGCTAACAGGTCACGAGGAAATCAGCACAAATGACAGAATGACAGGAGTATTGTCACGTGGGGACAAAGCACCCAACAGTGTCTTGTCTTCCATGGTGAGAGTAAGATAAGGCCCTGGAAGACATTCTGCTCAGTCAGAAAAAAAAGGGGGGGAGAATTGCAGGACCCCTGAAAACTGGCATTACAGCTGATCACAGTGGCATAACCCCTCTAACCTCAGCCCTTAGGAGGCCCTGAAAAACAAATAAGTCACATCACACAAACTGAGCACATTGTACTTATGTGTTTAGGAATATATACATATACATAAAATATGTATACGTATGCAACAACAATGAAAAAAGAGACCATGAATTTGAAAGAGAGAAGGAAGAGATATATGAAAATTTTTATGTGGAGAAATGGGAAGGGGGAAACGTTATGATTATATTGTGATCTCAAAAATGAAAAGAAATGATTAAAAACAAATAAGGAGGAAAAAAAGAGAGATCAGTGGATAATAAATGCAGGAAGAAAATGTTGTTCCAAAATGTTAAAGACACAAAAAAGCAAACCTTTACCCCAAGTGCATGCTTTCCTAAGTCAGAAAAGAGCAGTCATGTCATGGGTGGTAAAGAGTTCAATATGGGCGAGAGGGAAGGGAGACACCAAGAAGAACAGGAAGAAAGCCTGAGATTAGCAACGTATGGCTAGCCTGGAACAACCATCTGCATGGGCTCCTGGGAGGAAGGGTCCAAGAAATAAGTGCTCAGTTGCTGTTCTGGGAAGGGCACAATTCTGTCAAAGAGTAAACAGAAAAAGTAGGTGAAGATGAAGGCAAAAGACAGTACTTATGAATTGTCCAAGATCGGAAAAAAAAATAAAATAAATGCCGCAGTCACAAGACTTAGCTGACTCTGCTGCATGTCAGGATGAGAAGTCATACAAATGAAAATCTGGATGCTAGTAAGAAGGGAAATGTGGTCCCCACTGGAGAGTGCGGCAAGCTCTCCTGTGTGTGATGCCAGAACAGTGGAGCAGGGATGTGAGGAAGTCCATGTTAAAGTTTCTTCTACTTTAGGAAGTGAATAGATTTCCCTTCAAGATGAAGTCAGTGTTCCTCAGTATAAGCAGAGTATTTGAGACACCAGGTAAATACCACAAGACGTGAAGACCTGGAGTGCATGTGAGATAGTGCACAGCCTCCTGGTTTTCACGCTTCTCACCTTGCTGTATGCTTTGCTCAGCCCCACACTGCTTAGTTCAATTAGGAAAAAAAAAAGTGTTTTAAATCTATGAGTGTTTTGCCTCTTGTCTTCTCATCTGAGGTATAAAGCAGGATCCTGCAGGAAGATCACTTCCTGGTTCTGCCCAACATGTCAGAGTATTTCCAGGATCCACCCTGTGACAGGCACTGAGAACCGAAGGATGGATGAACTGGAACCACACTGAGAAGGATGAACTGTAGAGCAGGGGTTCTAGGGGTATCTGGGTGAGGGGAGCAAACAGGACACTGAGTAGATGGAATGAAAGATGATGCATGAAGCCAAAAGTTTCGTTTCAGTCAAAATGTTTGGGATGCCAAAGGAGGGTACCAAGAATGCAAGGCCTCTAAATCAACAGGTGGATGCACATATGAACTCACGTAGACCGAGACTGCAATTAGAGGACCTGCAAAGAGTCTGCACCAGATGGAGGTCCTAGAGTTGAAAGGGAAAGTAGACATCTGCCCCCATCCCTAACGGAGATGCTATCTCCAATTGATAACGGCTTGAACATAAAAGTTTACTCTTCTTCAAGGGAGTCTCATTGGAGAGACAAACTACTTTAGGCTCCATGCCCAGCAGTAGATGGCCAATAGAAACAAGGCCAACAGCATCTTTGGAGGTCCCTTGTCTTCTTATAATGTCCTCTCAGCACTTTGTATGTTTTTCCTCTCTTTTATTCTACAGATCATTTGCATATAGAGTGTTTTTGTGGGATTCATGAGTGTGTTGATGTGTGGGCCGCTGCATCTATATCTGGTTCCTATGCCTCTTTGGACTCTTTTTCCTCCTGTTTGTTTTGTCCAATTCTGACCTGTCAGTTTTTGTTTTATCTTATTTTATTTTATTTTATTTTTATCCCTTAGAAGTCTCTTTGTTTTCTAATGAGAGACAGAAAGGGGGTAGATTGGAATGGGAGGGAAGGTGGGAAGGAACTTGGAGGAACATAAGGAGAAAAAAACATAATCAGGACATATTATATGACAAAAAAATCTACTTTCAATAAAAGAGAAAAATGAAAAAATTTTAAAAATCCAAATAGCTCTGTCATCCTGAAGAATAGCTCAGCCTACCAAGATCAAGGTCAGCAGATCCATCCAACTGCAAAATTTAGTATACGTCAAGATTTGAAATAAAATTTGGAATGGACAGAGTAAATGAAGTTGAGAGATATGTGTTTCTATTTCCCCACAAACCTCATGGAGGGGGGTGTGTTTTTGTTTATAAGAGGTCTGTTTTCTCATTCAGTACTAAAACCAGGCTCAAATATTAGCTCAGGGTTCCAATTACCCTAATCCAACATGAAGGAAAGATGTACTTTCTTTCCATCCCACCTGCAGAGCGTCTCCCTCCAGCCAAAGCTACTGCACACTAAACTTGAAGAAACCCAACAGAAAAGTCTAGTACACTGCTTTAGAGACCTGAGCTAGTGGGAGCTCACTGACTCTGGACTGACAGCTGGGGAACCTGCATAGGACTGAACTAGGCCCTCGGAATGTAGATAGTTCTGTGCCTTGGGCAGTCTGTGGGGGCACTGGCAATAGGACCGGGATTTATCCCCAGTGCATGAACTAGCTTTTCGGAGCCCGTTCCCTATGGTGGGATACCTTGCTCAGCCTCAATACAGGGGGCGCGCCCGCCCCCGGAGATGGAATCTGCTTTAACTTGATATAATAGACTTTGTCGACTCCCTATGGGGAGGCCTTATTCTTTCTGAAGAGTGGATGGGGAGTTGGGTGGGAGAAAGATCAAGGTGGGGGAAGTGGGAGGAAGGAGGGAGAACTGTGGTTGGTATATAAAGTGAAAAAAAAAACTTTTAAATTAAAAAAAATTTAAAAGAGAGGAAGGAAAGAAAGGAGGGAGGAAAGGAAGAAGGGAGGAAGGAAAAAAAGGAAGGAAGGAAGGAAGGAAGGAAGGAAGGAAGGAAGGAAGGAAGGAAGGAAGGAAGGAATTCACTGTGGCACAGGCCACCACCTACCGTCGTCCCCCGGGCTTTCCGCAGATAGCTTAGAAGGTCTCCTCCTTCCATCAGTTCCAGAATAATGTACTGGGGCTCACTCAGCAGACAGACTCCCAGCTGCTTCAGAATGTTGGGGTGATTAAATTTGCTGAGAGGTGAAAAGACACAAACTGGATGGCATGATCAGCGCAACGGCCCCAGCAGGGTCTTCATGGAGCAAGCAGTTTACCCAAAGCGAGCTTTGGAAGCCCTCACTGACTTCCTCTGAGAAGAGAGGCTTCCCTTGCCTGAGTCCCCTTCTGTAGGCTTGCCTTAAGTAAGAGGGAACATGGCAACCTCTAGTGGCCAGAGTATCTGCAAGACTAAAAGGAATTTTAGAAGAAATAATGCTTCTTTCTCATTATGGGGGTTTTATGATTAGGGAAGAAAGCATTTTGACTAATAGTCCTCTTCGAAAGATGTTTGGAAGCATGTCTGTGTCATCGCACTTATAAGTATCCTCTCCCTCTTAGGGACACAACTCAGATCTTCAGGCTTGGGCCTCATTGGTTTGTGAAGACCCTAGGGTGAGAAAGTCCCAGCCTAGTTAGAGGACCCAGCTTGTCTTCCCAGGAGTCTCTGCCCACCCACCCCCCCACCCCCGCCGCTTCTCTCTTGAATACTTCTCATGACTGCTGCAGGCTAAAACCTTCCCGACAAGTTTTCTGGGAAAGAGATATTCTTGTTAACACTAGAACTCATAAAGAAACATTCCTCCTGGGTCTACTTGACCCATTATCCCTCAGTAAGAATAGGTGCATTTTGAAAGCAAAAGAATCTCAGAATTTGCTTGCAGACACAGTCCTACCTAATTAAAGATAAGACATGGGAGGATCTTTCACCTGGGAACTACCTACCCAGGCTCTGAAGACTGGTTTCTAGAAAATACTTAATGACTAAAGATTTATTTCCTTTTAAAGTCTTTGTTCACGTTTATTTTCAGAATGATCTGGTCATTGGGTGTTAAAAAAATCCAACACAGAGAAACGAAAGCTTTGTATCCACACTAGTAAGAGAAATTTACTGCATGAACTATGCTAATACCTCATCAGGTGCGCCTCCTTCAAGAACTCGATCTTCTCCTGGTCTGATGAACCCTTCTTCAAGGTCTGTGAGAAACGGAGGCAAGCCAGAAATCAGACACAGGGAGCCCAGTAAGTAGTGGAGACCATGTTGTGTTGATTGGTTTGTCTTCTTTGTTGTTCTGTCTATGTTGTTGCATTAGCCACTCTGATATCTGGAACTAAATCACAGATATTATCTGCATGTAATCTGTAAATCCCCTGTTGGTGCTGTGTGTGGTCTCTAAAACTTCCATAACTGCTTCTGTTCAATCAAGAACTTCTCAGTCCACTAGATAAGGGATTGAGGAACAAATATGTAAAGTCCCAATGAAATATAAACTGTATTTATTTTGTGTTTTCAATTAATTTACTGTTTATTTATTTTGTGTGTATGGCTCTTTGCCCGTATGTATGTTGGTACATCACGTGTGCACAGTGCCTGTGGAAGCCAGAAGAGAGTATCAGATCTCCTGGGCCAACAGTTCTAGATGGATGTGAGAGGCATATGAGTTCTGGGAATCTAAACTGGATATCCAAGAAGAGCAGCCAACACTCTTAAAGGTTTATTCCTCTTTCCATATATAGAAAAATTTAAAGACTCACTAATTTGGGCATTCAATGAGTCAGCATCTTTTCAGATTTTCTTCTCAACTTTCCCACTTTACTTGCAATCACTCCCAGGTTCATATTTTTTGGAGGATTGTTGCTCTTTATTAGTCAATAGATGTAAATTAATCATGAAAAGCTAGTCTAAAACTCTCCAGTCTCTCTGCTGTGAGTCACATGTTTTAGCTCCAGCTAATAAAATGTAAGAGAAAACTGGTGAGATGGAGATATTTTTAGGAAATATTGCCCCTTCCTAAACCATGTATGTAGACCATTCTACCTCATCTCCCTAGTCTGAGAGATGCCTTCCTAATTCCTGGCACTCACATTGGTATTATGAGGTAGCAAGCAAGAATAAATCAGAAAGGATTTCAGAAATGGCAACTCTCACCTGGCACAAGCACACCCAGGCCAGCAGTCATCTCAGCATGTGAGAAAATAAATAAATACGTGTTTAATGGGCCCAGACTAGAAGAAGTTATAGGACTTTTCAAGTTTATCATTGGGAAATGGAAAGAATTTTAGCAACAGAGATTGGCCATCCTTAGAGCAAAAGTCTTCATTAAGTAGTGACCAATATATCATTTAATTACATAAGATTGCTCAGTCTTCTATAAAAAAGAAATGTTCTCAGAACATAAGATCATATGTCATACTTCTTTAAAATGCACCAAATACACAATGTCAACCATAGCTTGTAGGCAGATGCAGTCTGTCTTCTATGTCTATAAAGGTTCTATATCCTATCACCCGTGTCTATATGAGTCTCTAAGTCTGTCACCTGTGTCTATATGAGTCTCTAAGTCTGTCACCCGTGTCTATATGATTCTCTATGTTCTGTCACCTGTGTCTATATGAGTCTCTATGTCTGTCACCTGTGTCTATACAGCATAGAGTCTGAAATCAGCTTCCGTCCTCTTAAATGGTGGAAGAGAGTAATATTTCATGACATAGAAAATTTAGACTTCGGTGTTTGTAAGTAACGTTTAGTGGAAATACTTGTTTGTTTAAAGGTTATTAAAGCTGTGTGAGCTGCAGGGCCAGACTTCAAGAGTTAAAGCAGAGAGTACATGGGCAGTAAGTTTGAGAATGCAAGCTAAGTCCTAACCTGTTTCCTGAGGAATTTACTAAACAGTTCTAGTTCATGTAAAGTATATTGTTATTGTTGTTTTGAGACAGTGTCTCCTGTAGCTTAGGCTGGCCTCTGACTCTGTGTGAAGCCAAGCATGACCGTGAATATGATTCTCCTGGTTCTTCCTGCAGTGTTAGGAATACAGGCATGCACAAGCAATACACCTTGTTTGCTGCAGTGCTGGGATTAAGCCAGGACTTTTGAAGTACTAGACAAGGCCTCTGCAAATCGAGCTATTATCTCAAACCTCTTCTTAGAGTACTTTCAATGGGAAGTAAAACTCTGTTAGGTCTTGCCTAATTAATAGCTTTAATAGTAACGTAAGCTCTAGATATATTCTCTGTTAAAATTCTGTTAGAAATGGGGAAAATAATGAGTGACTTTTGTAGCTAATAACAGACTTCCACATTCTGCCATTCTTAAAATTTAACTTACTTTTAAAATGTTCATTCATTTTATTTTTTGTGAGCATTTTTGCCTGCATATGCATGTGTATGACATGTGTGCCTGGTGCCACTAGAGGTCAGAAGAAGTTGTTGGGATCCCTTGGTGCTGGAGTTATGGATAGTTATGCTCGTGAACCTTCATGTGGGTGCTGGGAGCCAAACCCAGGTCCTCTGCAAGAGCAAAAAGTATTCCTAAGCACTGTGCAGCTCACCAGTCCCAAATATATCTTATGTGTAGTTGACGTACTATTTGTACATAATTTTTCTATACAACAAGATGGTTGGGGTTATACATCCATTGGATAATGGTCAAACCCAGGATACTAGCATATTCACTGCCTTACACTCTTATCGTTTCTTTATTAGTAAGCAGTCTGAGATTCTGCTTTGAGACATGCAGCACATCGTGTTAACTGAACTGGAAGGCCTCTTTTCCACCACTAGCGCTGGATTTCTGTGCAGCCATATGCCTGGCAGAGCGCTGAGATGCACATTACCTTCACGGCCACTTTGATTTCGCCGCTTCCCACTCCTAGGATGTCCACAGCTGTGCCTTCATACACCTCTCCAAAAGCTCCACTCCCCAGCAAAAGGCGCAGGCTCAGCTTCTCCCGAGGGAAGGCAGGAAGATTTTCAATCTCTTCTTGGGTTGGAAGAGTACTGTAAAATAACAACATGTCTGTTCTCCCTAAGGACCTCATATACTCCCTAAAGTGTAAACATTTGTATCTGAAAGAAATCGAGCCATCTCAGTGCTTGGCAGCACTGTACATTCTAATACGGTAATGAGGAATTTTTTGCTCCTATAACTTTCCTATTCTACCAGTTTTTAACACAGCCTGTCATTGACTTCTGAACACCATAGTTTCTATGTGAAAATGAAAGTGAAAGCTTCCCCGAGGCTTCTGCTGCAGCTGCTTCCATCAAAATTAGGAGTTATGAAATTCTCTGATGGGTTGCAGATCCATGTAAAAACTACTGCAGATGAAGAAAATAGCACCAGAAGCAGCCGGTCCCTGGACCTGGCCCTCCCTTCGCCTATCTCACCCCCCTCATCCATGACAAGGATTGACTCTGACCAAAAAACCAGCTCCTCTGCCCCCATGTAGCATTCCAAAGTCCTCACCTTGGGATATTATGGCATTGCTACTTAATCTACATTAAGTACACTTTGAGTCTTATTTTGTTTTCTTTGCAAGAATATTTTTTAAGAGATGATTTACTTATTTTTATTTTTTGTGCACTGATGGATGTTTTGCCTATGTGTTTGTCTCTCTGTGTGTGAGGGTGTTAGATCTCCTAAAACTGGAGTTACAGACAGTTGTGAGCTGCCATGTGGGTGCTGGGAATTGAACCTGGGTCCTCGGGAAAAACAGCCAATGTTCTTTACCACTAAGCCATTTCTCCAGCTTCAGCATCATAATTATCTTAATTATCTCCATCTTCAGAATCTTAATTATCAGATGCACAGTGCTTTCAAAAAACTCTCCTCTGAAGAGCTAGTTTGGTTCATTTATGCATCTATTTTAAATACTGTTTTGTAGATTTCAGCAACAAAGCCTATGACCATAGGATTCTTTTTACAGAGAGCACAGTATAGTGTCTTGTGCAAAGAAATACTTAATTTCCTTAATAGAACTCATCTTCTTACAGAGACACTATAGGCAATCATCATACAGCTTCCATAATAGAACAGGAAAATACATGCAAGACTTTTAGAACATTCTCCCTTCCCAGTCATTTACTCTTTTCAAAGTGATACATTTCTCCTTCTTAAGTTGGTTTTTTAATCACATGATTAAGCAATGGAATGCAATGTGTTTGTATTTCTCTTAAGGGTAACCACAGATGATGTGGGATGCCCCTCTGGGTGCTGTGAATATGTTTTCTTACCATTGGTTAATAAAGAAGCTGCTTTGGCCTATAGCAAGGCAGAATACAGCTAGGTGGGAAATCCAAACAGAGATGCAGGAAGAAAGAAGGCTGTCAGGCAGACGCCAGCAGCCTCTGGAGAAGCAAGATGTGAGGTAACAAGACACGACCATCGTGGTAAAAATAGATTAATAGAAATGGGTTAATTTAAGATGTAAAAGCTAGTTAATAGTAAGTGTGAGCTAATAGGCCAAAAAGTTTGTAATTAATATTAAGCTTCAGAGTGGTTATTCAGGAACTGGCAGGCGGAAAAGAGCCATCTGTCTACAATATACGTCATCATTTGTCCCAAGCCACATATGAGATTAGAAGCAAATGTAACTGACAATGATGCCCAAAGAACCCTGGGAAATATGAGATGTGTGGACACCCTTGATATTGGGTCCACACTCAACCTATGCGATTCAAGAAGATGGCGTGAGTCACATACTGTACTGCATAGCAGGCATTGGCCAGTCCCACTCCAGCCGCCAGACCTCGCAGCTCTGCCAACTCTTTGTCGTCTTCGTTGAGAACTGACAGCCCTTCCTTGGAAGCTTTGCGATTTTTCAAGCTTCTGTACCAGACTGTAAAGAAAACAGACAATTTACCAAGTAAAGTATTGTTTTCCCCCTTTAAAAAATGTTGGTATGTTTTAGACACACATATGTGTGTAAACACTGTTGAGAGAGAATAACATTTGATTTTAAAATACTGCTATAACAAATTTTTTTAAATTAAATTTTGGTAAAATTCCATATAAAACCTATACAATTTATACACTTTTAATTGTAAAGCTTACTATATTTCTTACTACTACAAATAAGTTTTGAAGTAGCTTATTACAATGCATTTCTCAAAATAAACTATAAGCTAGGACCAAACAAAGTTTCCAAGCTTGCAGAATAATTATTAATGAAGCAAACTTCCTTCTGCATCCAGACATTCCCACCATGCATCACACACTGGCAGACTTGAAGAAATGCTTCCAATACAACGGCACATTTAAAATGTTTTCAGTTGATCTCTGCCCAGCCTTTCGGCTGAGGTCAAGTGTAAAATGTTTCCAGTGTGATGCACACGGTACAAATGTATGTGCATGCGTGCGTGCATGCGTGTGTGTACGTGTGTGCGTGTGTGCGCGCGCGTGCGCGTGTGTGTTCAAGCCAGATGATGACTCAGTACACAAAGTGCCTGCTGCACAAGCATGAGGACCCGGGGTTCAGATCCCCAGAACCCATGTAAAAGTTGGGTGTAGCACATACATGTAACCCCAGTGTTGCAGATAGAGGTCCATGACAGGCAGCTCTTGGGGACCTGCTAGCCAGACAGCCTAGCTGATGATCAGTGAGCTCCAGGTTCAGTGACAGACTGTCTCAAAATATTAAAATGTATTGGGATAGAAAAAAATTTCTGACACTGACCCCTGGCCTCCACATATACACACAGAGGGTGGGGGGGGGGGGGACACAGCTGTGCAATACTTAGATTCTGGAATCGCTGGTTAAACTCTTAGACATCTTCTGAAATGTTTAGCTGCCCCAGAGTTGAAGGAGTTTCACGTGCTCCCTGGTAGACTCCTTAAAACAAAAGTTCAACTCTATTCAGAGTGTTCTCAGACACCTGCTTACTGCACTACAGAAACAGAAATACATTCAAAGTAATGCATATCTGTTGTTCATATACGTCTGTAGAAAATTTGCTCTGACAAACAACAGCCTTGGTCCTATCTACTTGTAGAATCATGAGTGATTTGTACTTCCCCCTTTTCACATTTTATAATGTTCAGAAGACATTCTTGGATAAAGATTAAAATATAATTATGTCAGTAAGATCACTTGTTTCTGTTGTATATTGGTACAGGGGTTAAAATCAGCAGAAGTGCTATGGAAATGATTAATAAAATTTGAACATTTGCACAGTGGTGCACAACAATATTCTGCCAATTTGGAGGCTGCGGCAGTAGGAGCAGTAACTCGAGATCAGCCTGTTCCACAATTAGTCAGCTCTGTCTCAAAACAAAACAAAAGCACCCAACAAAGTTCCTCGCGTATCTAAGACGTTAGAGTTTCACTCTGCGACATTCCATCCGAGGGACCGCACAGAGGCGTCTCCAGCCCCTTTACTGAAGCACTTCTCTCTAAGCCTCACTTGCTCTCACCCTGGCATCCTCAGTGATGGACACCACCTCATTCTCTACAGACTGTCTCATCACTCATCAGTGACCCTGAAAGGCCGACTGTGACTGCCAGTGCTCTCTCCGTGCCAGGGCCGCCGACATTTCGCGTCACTTATAGCATCCTGCTGCAACTTCTCATGCAGATATGTCTTCCCACCATTATTAAAGGACAGTCTCCTGAGGTCACTGATTACAGCTTACAACTTCCCCTTTCCCTGGCACGAGGTTCATGCTGCGGATCAGATATGACCTCTCGCCAACCCACAGGCTGCCAGGACTTATTTTTAAGCCTTTGTTTCAATTTTACAGAGCCCTCAGAACAATGACATTTCTAAAGAATTGCTACTTTTCATTATTTTAATAACTTAGTCTTTTCTCATGCACTCGCCCATTCCTACTGCTACAACCACACGCACTACTAAGAGAAGCAAACACTAAATTAGCTTAGCTACTGCCCCCAGATCACAAATTCCAAGCACAATAAAGACCTTTAAGTCCTGAGAAAGCCAGATATCCATGGGATGTCTCAAAAGCACACAAAACATTGAAATGGTCTCATGTTCATCCACTAGTGTCATGGGTTCAAGTAGTGGTGATGGAGAAAGTAGGCAGGCAAAGGAGAGATGAAGGGTTCCTCATGTTACTCGCCCGCCAGCAGGAAGCAGACAGGAAGTCAAGCCAATATGCCAACTGCCGAATATACCACAGTCAGACGAGTAACTCTGGAGGGACTGGCTTAGTGGTACAAACATCAGCTGTGCGATAGACAGACTCCCTGGAACCACAGGTTAAAACCCTGGCAGGCTCCGCGAAAATGCCTAGCTTCCCCACTTAGCTAGAGGCATCGCACGGGTTATCTGGATGGATAAACCTCAGTTCAAGTTCAAAGTGTTGTCTGAGACCTTTTACCTTCAGTCACTCTGGAGAAAGAATAGCAATTGGGAAAACTGAATTAAATCATAGCTTTATTTCCCCAGGGAGAATGCAGCCTTGTCACTTTCTCTTACTTTATCAACACAGTAAGTCGCAGCTTCCTGAGTATGTGCTGGGATTTCTTTTCTGGCGTCATGCTCTTCTTACCATTCTGGGTAATGGGAGGATGTGCTTGGTATCAGCAGTAGATGGAAAACTCAGCCATCTTCTAACTCAAACCAAGATACATGGGGAACTGAACAAACGTGATGTTAGCATGTATTGCACAATAGGAACATGCCAGAGTGTATGATCGTGGTGATAACCCTCTGGGCCCAACTTCTTACCATCTATTTTGGGTTTTCTGTGTTTTTAACCATAGTTAAAATGAACATTAAAAAGTGGCAGATCTTTAAGGAATATCATATTAACATAAAATAAATAATGGGAAACAGCTACCTGTTGTAATTCTGCTGCTTTGGGGTCCTTAGTAAATGAGCAGGGATTTTGAGTACGCCTATCAGTTGTCAGAAAGCAAGAGTGAGTCTCACAGACCAGAAATGGGTCTCCTTAAGAGGCCCCATTCCTTCCAAACTGAGCTGTCTGCTGGGGGACCAAAGCTATTCCAACCAGTGACTGACACTGGCTTCCCATTAATCCTGCGCTGTTTTTGTAATTTTGGCTGCTTCTCTTTTATTTATATTCTAGCCTACAAGCCACAGAACACTTGCAGTAGCTAATCAGAACCAAGTGCTATTTTACAGAAAGCTAAAATAGAGTGTCTTCACAAACAGTTGCATCTCAAGGATTCTATCAAGTGTAAATACTGAAGTATTTGCCATGGGATAGCTAACCCATGCTGTAGTCTGTACCCAGAATATTCTTCAAAGGTGCATGTACTACAGCCTTCCTCTTCAGCTTGAAATCCTTGGAAAACAGAGGTTTTAGGGCCTAATGGAAAGTCTTGTCACTGGGGACATGTTCTTGGAGATGATGTGGGACCCCAGCTTCTTTCTCTTTCCCTTCACTTCCTAGCTATGAGATGAGGACATTACTACATCATACCTCTGCCATGAAGGACTGCCACACACCCAGAGCAACACACCACTTGCTCACGAACCAACACCTTCAAAACTATGAGCCAAAATAAACCTTTACGTGAAAGAATACAAATGCATCCCTTGGTTAAAAAAAAAAAAAACACAGGAGTGAGTAACTGTGAAAAGACAGTCAAGGGAAATGCTGTGAACTTTATTAACTTATTTAACCAGCTTGTGTTTCATGTAGGAAATGAAGTAAGCTGAAAAATAAATCAGTCAGCAAGATCTAATAAACAATTTAATACCTGCTTGTAAAGTCTAGAATACTCACCAAAGGTCAGAGGGACTGTAGTGACCAGAAGTATACCAACTAGGGCAGTAAGTATAAAACTTGTTTCTGTTATCCAAAAACCATCTAAGGATATAAATGGGAAAAGAAATTAATTCACACAAGCTAAAGGATCCCACATCTTCCCAAGCATGAACACACTGGTTAGCATGAGCCAGCTCCTCTGAGGTTTTTACCAGACAGTGGTTTAGCAGTTGGCAGTCAGAAGTCAACTAGGTGGAGATCGTGTACCCAGAAGAAAGTTGCTCTTCCTTTTGTTACTTTGCCATCATCTCGCTGAAGCACCCCACCCAATCTATTTTAAGACGACTAAGAAAACATGTGTGCTTCTTTATAAGGAATTCGGGACAAAGGAGTCTTTATCTTCATATATTAAAAAAATAACAGATTTATTATTTTCCATTATATGACCACACCCATTTAACTCCACAGAAATTTATCTAAGGAATACCAACATGAAAGTATGGCAGAATGTCTTTGATACGCTGTCTACAGAGGAAACAAATGTGCAGACCACAGCTTGGCAAACCCCAGTCTGTGGGGGCAAACCTGGATGCAGCTTTTTAAAACTTCCTAAGAAGTGAGCTAAGAATAATTTTTACATTTTAAAGCTAGTTTAGAAAAAAATAAAAGAGAGGGAGTAAAAAACAAGAGGAGAACGAAGAAGAGGAGGTAGCTTCAGAGAGCAGACAGAAGCGGCAAAACCTACACCGTTTACAACTTGACCCTTGTCAGGAACTATCTTGGCAAGTACTAACTGACGGATTATAATATAACTAAGAATGATGGCAGTTTGACTTTTAGTTTTATGTGTATGAGTGCTTTGTCCTCATGCACATCTGTGCACCATGTGCGTGAAGTTCCTGTGCAGGTCAGAAGATGACATCAAATCCCTGGGGGATCTGGAGTTGCAGAAAGCTGAGGCACCATGTGCGTGCTGGGAATCAAATCCAGGACCTCTGCATGAATGAATGTGCTAAGCTTCCAAGCCAGCTCTCCTGGATACTTTTGATTGCAGTTTTTTATGAATTTATTTGTGTGTATTACATACATGTATATGTGCATGTATCTGCCTGCCCGGGCACAAATTTGGAGGTCAGGAACAGCTTGTGGGAAATGGTTTTCTTCTACTACCATGGGAATGCCAGGGAACAAACTCAGGTTACAGACTTGGCAACAAGTACCATCTTGATGACCCAGAGTGATTGATGCTTTATGTGAAATGTAGGTATAAAATGCAAATAATTCATTTTGCCTACTGTACAGCAATTATACATGACAATGGGTTCATTTAAGTTAGGACTTCAGATGAAAGGCTGGTGGTAGGAAGGGGATGAGCGAGGGTAATGGGGTGACTATGATCAAGATACATTATTTATTTGAGTGAAAATGTCACAGTGAAGCCCATTAGTATTTGTAATTAACATACACTAGTAAGAATCTAGAAATGAAATAGATGAGTAAGATTAAATTTCCTGTCATTGCTGAAGATGTAATTCAGTCACAGAGTACTTACTTCACATTTGCAAAGTCCAGAGTTTGATTCTCAAGTGCACACACACACACAAAGAGAAAAAGAAAACTCCCAGCAGCCAGATGAGAACACACCACATAATTAAAATCTGCTTTTGTTGAAGAATCTAAATCAAGGTGCTACTTTCTATATACATAATATAAGTTAAGAATCAGACCTACTATAAATACTACAGTTCATGTATGAAAAGTCACACTTAAAACAAATGCAGTAAGAAAGCAAAGACATAAAGGTCCTAGTGATGTTGTATAGGAATAAAGACTAAGATACAATGTGCTCACAAAAAAAAAAAAAAACATTTAAACAATACCAATGGCAAAAAGGAAATCCCAGGTAAGGGATGCATGGGAGATAGTACAGGCTGATCTTTTAGGCTGAAGGAACTACAGGTCAAAGACCTAATTACAAAGGCTGTATCACAGGGACAAATGCTAGGAAAATGAACCCCTGAGGGGTAGGTCCCAGGAGGCTTCACACGCCACACTGAAATCAGGAAATGGCGCCATTCCACATTGTTCAATGATGGGCAAAGGCTCAAGCTTATCTTCAGCTAAATTGTCAAGGATGTGGTAGAGCCGAGAGCTCAGACAAGAAAAGATACCTGAAATCAAGAGAGTAAGTGTGGAACAGTCATGTGGAAACAAATCAGCAGGAAATTAAGATGGCAATGTGGCTCCTTGGGTAGGATGTTTGCCACCAAGCCTGGCAATTTGCGTTTGATCCCTGTGGCCCATGCAGCAGGAGAGAACCAGCTTTTAAAAGTTATTCTCTACCTGTACACACATTACTGTGGCAGGAAAATGCCTATGTACACATATATACAAATAAATAAATGTAATTTTTAATACAAGAAATTGCTATGTTTCTCTTCAAAATCAATTGAAGTTGTTGACTTTATAAAGGGGCAAATCAAACATGTCACTGAAGTTTCTGGTGTATAAATCCTGGTTAGTTTTGTTGTACACTTGGCATACCTGGGAAGAGGAACCCACAGTTGAATAATTGCCTCTATCAAATGCCTATAGTTACGTCTGTGGGGTCATCTGTTGATTTCCAGTTAGTATAGGATGGCCCAGCCCACGATGGTACCAACCCCAGGCAACGTGGCCCAGGATGCATGAGAAAGATAGCCATGGGGATGGGAGCCAAAAAGCCAGGCAGCTAGCTGTGACTTCTGCTTCAGGTTTTACCTCTGGGTTCCCATCTTGAGTTCCTGCTTTACTTGGCTTCCCTTGACAGCGGGCTATGACCTGTAAGTCAAATAAACCCTTTCATCCTAAAGTTGCTACTGATCAGTGTTCTGTCATGGCAATAGGAAGCAAATTGGAACACTGGGTGTTTAGAAAGATAATGCATAACCTAAAGTAGGATACATAGTGGAACAGCTAAATAAGAAGGGAGACAGAGTAGTTCTAAGCCTCTTATGTAACAGAGCGCTAGGAAGCAAATACGATGGTTGAATAGATTAAAGGCCAGATTGCGGACAGTCTTGGAAGTCTATGAAAGAGAATGGAAATGGGATCATAGACATTCAGAGTGGCCGCTTATTTCCAGAGAAGCAAAGTAACAAGATAAGAACGATGCTTAAAGAATACACCAGATAAGCTGAACCCTTCAATAGTTTGTATGAATAGCTATTCAGCCACTATACCTGTGGCTAATATTAAGACTATATCAATCTTTGGCACTAAATGTTTATGTAATAAACTAGTACATAGACAGATATGTTAATATACCTTCCACTAACACAATAGCCTCACTGATTCCACTGTATTCTCCAAACCCAATATTATTTGCAGCCACTGCTCGGAACTGAAATGGTCCATTCAGGTCTGTGGACTTCCACGTGCAGATGCTGCTGCAGGAGCCATTAAACACCATCTTCCACCGTAAACTCTGGTTCTGGGAATCACTTGAAGTGCCCTTTCTGCAAAAGAAATCAGTAGATTAACAGTCGTCTACAGCACACAGGACAACGTGCTGTTCTTTCTAGTCTCTCACCACTTAGCACGCACTTGACCCTTGGCTTTATTTCTGTTGTTTGATTTGCTGCAGAAGAGAGCACATTTATCAAAGTCTTGGCAAGTCACAAGCAAACCAATTCAGTCCATCCGAAGAGTAAGGAAGAATCAACGCAAAGAGACAGCTGAAGGCCCTGTTCCTGCTGTTTAAAATGCAGGAAACTGCTGAACTTCAAACACATAATTACTTCTTCACCTTTCTTTAGCTAGAAAGTTTGCACTTTTTTTTTCCTTTTCTTTTTCTTTTTTGATCTTTTTGCTCCTGCATGTATGTGTGGTGCATATGTACATGTGTGTGCACAGCTCTCCATGTGTAGCAAAGGCGAGAGGAAAATATTGGGCATCCTGCTTTATCACTCTCTGCCTTACTCCCTTGCAACAGGGTCTCTCACTAAACTGGAAGGCACACTGGTAGCCAGCAAGCCCCAGAGATCTTCCTGTCTCCACCTGTCATAGTGCTGCTATTAAAAGCATGCACACAGCCACACCTGGCCTTTATGTGGGTTCTGGGGATTAACAATCGGGTCCTCATGATTGCAGAGTAAGTATTCTTCCCTACTGAGCCAGCTCCTAGTCTTTTTGTTTGGTCGGTTGGTTGGCTGGGTTTTGAAACAGAGATATTAACGCAGCTAGGATAGTCTTGAACATATGATCCTCCAGACCTTTTGCTCCTACACTTTTGGATTACAGACATAAATACCATACATGGCTTATATTTTAAATGTTTAAGTCTCCTGTATCACTTATAATTGACTTGTGCTGTATGTGGATAAAATACAGAATTTAAAATTGAAAGGATGATATTATAACACTTCAATAAGTTGATTATAAACATAGTTCAGCCACCAAAGTTATCAGTATATATGAGATTCTAAGATTCATTATTTCCTTTTACACTGGCCTATACTCTCCTCAAAGACAGTCCACTGACTTTGATCTTGATATGATCTTCATATAAAACAATAGCTGAGTTCATGATAAAATCAGAATGGTTTTTAATAACATCATTGACAAAAGACAAATTCAGGGCTTTCAGCTGTGTCCTCTCTGTCAAAGAAGGTCTAAAACTTTTCAGGTCACATCAGTATTAGGGGTCCAGAGTAGAAGCTAGCTATGCTCCCAGTAACTGAACAGTTGACTGATGTGGGATTACCCTCTGTATGATGTAAATATGTTGTATTACCAATGGTTAATAAAGAAGCTGCTGCTTTGACCTATGACCAGGCATAATGTAGGTAGGCAGGAAAACTAAACTAAATGCAGGGAAAAAGAAGGCAGAGCCAAGGAGACATCATGTAACTGCCAAAGGAGAAAGACGCCAGGGCCCTACCAGTAAGCTGCAGTCTTATGGCTAATGGGTTGATTTAAGATGTAAGAGCTAGCAAGGAATATGCCTGAGCTATTGACCGAAGAGTGTTGTATTTTATGTAGTTTCTGTGTGATTATTTGGTCTGGGTGGCCCAGAAATGAAAATGCAGTCTTCTTTTACAGCTGCCCTTGAGAAACAGGTAGGGAACAAGGCTTGAGTCGCAGGAGACCAGGGAATGAGAAACAACAATAAGAGCCATGGGGTAGCAGTATTAATCACAACTGTTCCCAGAAGCAAGGTATCTTCAGGGCCACCCTAATTAAATCATTATGCCATGCTTTTATATGTTGTGAATCCTCAGGGTAAGTTATGGCAATTTCATTCATTGTTTAATGAGAATAACTTTGATTTTTAAGCCATAAAACCCTCTAGGAAGGAGAGAAATGACTCTCCACAGATACTGGAAGACAAAGGCAATGGAAACATTGACATAAGGTGAGCACCTTCTATTTAGAATGCAACACAGTGGAGTTCATTGTGTCTTTGGTCTCACTGAGTCTTCACAACAACCCAAAGAAACAGAGAGACATCAATATTTCCATTTACAGGTAAGAAAAACATTTTGGAAAAGTAAAATCTAATACAGTTAGTAACTGGAATTAGTAATAGCCCCTTACTCTTGAAATCTATACCCAGTCAACCTATGCACGTGACTTTGACTAGAAATAAGGTCGTGGCACATGTCACTTTAAGATGAAAACATGCTAAGTGAGGGCATGTCATAGTTCAATGCCAAGTAGTCTTTTAGAAAAGAGAAAGTGACCCCAGATACATAGAAGAGAGTATGTGATGCTGGAGTGAGATACATATACAAGTCAAACAAAACCAAGAGGATCAGGCCCAGAACAAGAAACTGAGGCAAGGTGGGAAAGGAGTCTTCCCTAGAAAGTCAGAAGAGAGTGTGGTCCTCCTTACACCCTTATGTCAGACTTTTTGTATGTGTGTTTTTTTTGTTTTGTTGTTTTGTTTTCAAGACAGGGTTTCTCTATGTCCTGGAGCTCACTCTAGAGACTAGTTCACCTCAAACTCAGAGATATGTCTGCCTTTGCCTCCCCAGTGCTAGAATTAAAGGTGTGCACCACCACCGCCCGACCTGATGTCAGATTTCTAGTCAGATGAACTGTTGGAGGAAATTTCTGTGGCTTAAGTGACCAGACTGGTGTATTTTCCCCACTACTCTAATAGCTGAGGCAAGAAGATCACAAGTTTACATTATAACCAGGCTGTAGAGCAAGTTCAAGGCCCAGTCTGGACAACATAGCGAGACCCTGATCTCAAGAAGTTAAAGGGTAGTTTGTCATGTGACTCAGTGGTAACATTCTTGATTAGTGTGCTCTAGGCTGAGTCTCCAATACTGGGTAGGGGTGGGGATAAAAAATAGAGTGCAAATAGAATTAGACTAACTAACTAGACTAACTAGTCTAACTTTCCAAAGAGTTGACTCAGTGACAATACTTCTCCTGCCCTATAGTGATAATACTTTAGTGCCAATAGTTGAGATCCAGGGCAAGGGGATGCCTAATTACACACTTAAGGTCTTACTCAGAGGAACACACTAAGGGGTCCTAGCAAAAATAATATTGTGGCCTGGATGTTCCACACATAGTCACAGGCCACCAAGATACTTCCACTAAAGACATATTTTACTGCGCATGAGAAACAGTGACAATGTATTTCCTGAAGGTTTCGACTGAAAACAAAGCCAAGAGAATTTTCTAATGTGAGCAGGAAATTTTCTGAGGTTCTGGGGATGCCAGAATGAGACGAAGCAAAAATAGACCTAAAGCTCAAGTTGCCAGGACTATAATTATGGAAGTGACTTTTGTCCTTGGAGCCTCTTAAAAGATGGCTTCATAGTCCCGTGAGGGGAGTGTCTTGGGGATTTGGAACTCTCCCCTCGAGCTGGCATGGAGTCGGTCCTTTTGGGCCAGTTCCCTCGCTGAGCTCCTCAAACTGGCTGGGTCTGAGGGGACGCGTGCTTCTCAGCTGCTGGTTTTAGTTGACAGCACATTCTCGGCCTCTGGAAACATACTCAAACTGCTAACCTCAGAGAGATAGAGAAGCCTACATACCTATTGATGTGGAACGATGATGCCAGCCCCTTCCTTAGACTCTGATTCTGAAAAAAATATATAGCTTTTCTCCAGTTCTCACCTGAGAGCATTTAACTTTGTTAATATATGTGTGTGTGTGTGTGTGTGTGTGTGTGTGTATAATTTAGATATATTATATGATATATATAGGTTATATAGATTATATAGATATACATCAGAAGTTTACAGGTATTTGTCATCTGACACTCAACATTGGCTCAGCTTTTTAGGCAGAGTGGATAGTAAGTAAATATCGGTGGCATGAACTATGATGGAGTGGTTTCTGTGAAGTTTGAATGAGCAGTGGCAGATTTCTGAGAACAATGTGGTGTGTTTCATCATTAGAAGATGCCAGGAATCAAGCAAAGAACATAGAGAAACATACAAACGTCCTTAAGATTCATTTTGAAATATAAATGTACTTCGACAAAATTATCCCTTTTGACCAGCTTGTAATTAACTGCTTATCTCTTTGTGGTACACAAAGCATCATTTGATACGTACCTGATCTCAAGGATATGGTACATCAGTCTACTGCCGTTATCTTCAGCTTTTTCCCACTGGATTGAATTTTTACTCCCTTCTAGTAATTTTGGAATGCCTGGTTTGCTTGGGACTCCAGCTTCATGGGGATAAAAAGAGAATTGACTGACATGTCAGAAGTATAAAATATTTGGCATTGACTATCTTTCTCTGGGATAAATTGAAAAAAGTGAAATGTTTTAAAGAAATATTCAAATGCAAAGTCTCACTCTCCCTCCTCTCTCTCTCTCTCTCTCTCTCTCTCTCTCTCTCTCTCTCTGTGTGTGTGTGTGTGTGTGTGTGTGTGTGTGTATATGTGTTTATGTATGTGGATGGCAGAGATCAACCTCAAGTTTTGGTTTTCAGGCAGCACCCACACTGTGATCTGGCGCTCACCCACTGGGCTAGGCCCCGGAGATCCACCTGTCTCCACCTGCATGGCACTGGGATGACAAACGTTCTGCCATATCCAGATCTCTGGGGACTGAACTCGGGCCCTCGGACTCACGTAGCATGAACTCTACTGCTAGAGCTGTCTCCCCAGCCCTGAAGCACAGATTTTTCAGTGAGTATCTAAAGCTTTCATTAGTAATAAGTTAGCTAGTTAGTGAGAAGATCAGTCACGGATCTCATCTTGATACAAAATAATCAATAAGTACAAATTTAAAAACCATCACAGTTTTAGAGCATTTTGCCTTCGACCCTTGCAGGAGTCAATCTGGAGTTATGGTATTCAGAATGTTAACTGACGAGACATGTAGGGTTCAGTTTTGCTTTTTTTTTTTCATTTTAGCATTTGAACTACAAAAGTTATTTTGTGACTGTTTTGTGAGCATTTGGCTACCCCATTTCATTTAGTTCTTGCTACAAAACACAATATAACTAGAGAGGATAACATAAAACTGAAAGAAGAAATTGTTTTGCCCATCTTGGGATCCTAAAAGACCAAACCAGAGCCAGGCAGCAGTGGTGCGTGCCTTTAATACCACCACTCGGAAGGCAAAGGCAGGCCTGTGAGTTCAAGGCCAGCCTGCTCTACAAGAGCTAGTTCCAGGACAGGCTTCAAAGCCACAGAGACAACCTATCTCAAAATAAATAAATAAATAAATAAACAAAACCAGGACATTCTTTGTCCTTCCTGTAACCACTCTTGACTCTTCCATTCTGTCACTTACACTACAGACATAGTAATGACTGTCAGGAGAACATCTGATATGGCCCAGAGGCTAAGAACACTTGCTAGTCATGCAGAGGACCCGGGTTCTGTTTCCAGCGCCCACATGGTGACTCATAGTCATGTCTAACTCCAGTTACAGATCCAAGAGATCCAGCACCCTTTTCTGTCTAACTTTAGTACTTGGTAACTGCACCAGGTACACAGGCAGTACACATATATACACTCAGACAAAACACTAACATACATAAATTAAAAGTAGATACAATTATTTTTAAGATACATTTTTGAGTAGATACAATTATTTTTGAAGAAAGCTTCTAGACTTGGACTGGTAGAATTTGGAGATGTGTAAGGAGTAGAGAGGTCTGCGTTGCTTGAGGAGGATGCTGATACCCACCTTTTGTCTTGAAGCTCTCTGGACTCGAGGAGCTATTTTCTCCTGTCATATAGACCACCACCACTCGGATGTTGTAAGGAGTATAGGGCTGGAGGCCCACGATATTACAGACATAGACTGGACCTGGGCTGCATGATGCTTCAACGTGGAAAAACTCATTATATTTCCACTAGAAAAAGAAATATAGCAAAGATTTTTATTCTTTTCAGAAAATTATGGACACGGTACTTGATTGAAACTTAAATTTATTTATATTGAAAGTAAGAACTTCTTTATGGTGTTTAACTCTGAACAGTACCCTAAAAATGCATGGTGCCATTGTTGTCTATGTCAGGTTGTAATTGGATGAGCAACCTGTTTTAGCATAAGTGCAAGGTGGAGCACCCCTGACTGCAATGGGGAGGACTCAGACCTGAAGCACACTGCTCTCCTGAAACGCAAACACTAAGGCCAAGGCAGGATGACTAAGAATGAAAGCAAGAGGATAGGAGCAAGGGTGATTGCCTTCATTCCAGGAAGTTGCTCATTTTAAGATCATACTCTTAAGTGTTTTGATTCTTAGTTGAAATCCACAAGCAAATCAAAAACATTTGGAATTTTCTTCTAATGCCATCTTCAGATACGTGGAGCCATGTTTTACACAGATTCCTGGGAACCCTAGGTCCTCCAAGGAGGGAAACTCTCACCCACCATTGCACAGATAGAACCTCTGCAGCGATGATGAGTGTTAAATATAGGTGATCTTGCTTCCATCACACTTTACACATCTGATGGTCTTTAAGTTCATCTAGGTGAAGGTTTTTACCCGTGGAATTGCTTTTTAAAAATCCTTTCTATTTAGGTCCTTAAAAGCATTACTTGAAAATGGGAAGTGTTTTTTGTACAAATAAGAAAGACAAAGGATGTGGCATTTTGTCAAGAGTTCATAATGTCTTTTCCTTGGTAGCGTTTCCTAAGAAGGTCAGTTTCTATAAATAAACTTTCCTCTGCATCTCCTTTTTCATTCAGCCCTCATGAGGTCGCATCATACCATCAGACAGGCACTTTACACTAGTTTCTATTAAGTTAGGATTACTTTCTATTGCCGTTTCAGGAGGCAGATCACCATGTTACAAAAAAGGGGGGAGAGGGAAAAGGACAGCAGGAATGGAAACAGTAAGAAGTAGACATGCTATTCAAGGCAATGCAGTACTAAACTCGTGACTATGTCAGTTCCACTGAGACACAATGAAATGGCTTAATTAAACAGATGATTCAATGTGCATTATGTACTCAGACTGAGTGTGTGTGTGTGTGTGTGTGTGTGTGTGTGTGTGTGTGTGTGTGAAAGAGAGCGAGGGGAGAGAGAGAAAGAGAGAAGAAAGGAGGGAGGGAGAGAGAAATTATTCCCAACTATACTATAAACTTTAGCCAGTCAAGTCCTGCCTTCTTAATGATATGGTATATAATGTACCTTTAGAGACTGGACTAAAGGAACCACACATTCTAGGCATCTAGAAATCAGCAGAGCTCCTAAAATGCAGGAGAGATGTTTACCAAGAGTACTTGCTGGAACGCTGGCAGCAGATTGGCCTCGCAGCAGTAGTGAATGTTCTGGGCAGACCACCAACTTGGCAGCTGCAGTGGGCTATCCCAGAAAAATCACAGGGAGTTGGAACCTTCCACTTGCCAGAAGTTAGCAAGCACAGGGGAGCAGGCTACCCCAGAGAGAATGTCTAGTTATTTACCCCATTTAGGAGAGTGACTAGCCTATAGTATTTTACAGATCAGAACTTCAGAAACACATAGTTCCAGTAGAGAACAAAAATTAAGAGGAAAAATACAGTTTAATAGGTTCCTATGAAAACAAGCAAAAGTAAAATTATTTTTTCTGATTTTAAATTGAATATGTTCTGTTTCTATACACTTTTAAGATATTTTTTAAATTTACATAATTTGAGACATAAATTAAAAAATTAGCTTGAGGGCTGGGAATGTACCTAAGTTGGTGAAGTATCTACCTATCGTCTTCAAAGCTCTGATAACAAAGTTTGATAGTCAACATCATAATCCAGGCGTGGTGGTGAACACCTTAATCTTAGAATTGAGAAGGTGAGACAGAAAAATCAGAAGTTCAAGGTCAAGGGTTATCTTCAGCTATATAAAGAATTCAAGAGCAATCTGGGCTATATAAGAAAGACCTTGTCTCAAAACAAACAAATAAATAAATCTTTAGCTTATGTTCTGGTTTCTTTATTTTAAAGGCAAGGAAATTGTGTCAGAACAACAAACTTTACCACGATGTTCTTTCATTTATAAAGAAAAATTAATTAGAAGGAGCATTTTCTAATTAACCTCCCCTCCCTGTTCATCTTCCAAGTGTCTCAATGTGGATTTATGGGGTCATTGTCAATAATCTTGTCATTAAGAGACAAGTTTGAGTCACTCAAAAGAGATGGAGCTTCTGGGAGAAGATCATCTATCCACCATCCAAAGTCAGAGCCCTCAATTCTGCCCATGCACCTGTACTACAGGTGGTCACAAATGCAGAAAGAACCTCTTTCAGCTTCACAGTGTACCTTTTAAAAAGCGGGCTCTTTCGGTGGAAAGCCCTGGATGGTCTCAGGCTCAGCATCTTACCTCCTCCCACAAGCTAGAATTAGAAGAGTGTATTACCACACACCCAGTAGCTTCATGGCTTTCTAAGTGGCCTATAAGGAACCTGTATTGGAAAAGTCTGGGAACAGAGGAAGTCTACAATAAAAGCACCTCCTGGAAGTCAAGAGGATTGAACCAGGAGGGCCCTGTCTGCTGCCCTCTCTGGACTTTGAGGAATGGGATGACTTAATGACTCATGTTCCTTCCATGGACAAGACCCAAGTGGGACTGTTCTAGAGATGTGTCAGCCCTGGGGTTTGTCTGTGCCCAACTGGCTGCATCTGACTCACAATAGTGTCTATCTCAGTCTCTGTCTCCTCGTCAAGAAAGGAAGACGCCAGCTCATTATAATCCCTCACATCTTCCCCAGTCTGGGAAGCAACACCACCATTCTTTCCCCTTGACTTTACATGAACTGCATTAAGCTTACTTAAGTAACTTGAAAAGCAAACCATTGTCCAATGTCTCCAATTTAGCCTTATTGCTGTGAGGTAACCATTTTAAATAAACAACAAGTCATTAAAACAGATTTAATGTTTGTTTTTAAAAAGCTTTAAATTATGATTTTTTTCATTTGACCAACTCAATACTCAATGCTCCATTTTCTGTCTTATTCAAAAAATTACAAAAATCACAAAAGTATATCTTTTATGGTAAAATTTAAAAACCTATGAAGAGAAAAGGGGCCATGAGATGGGAGGGGGGAATTTTAAAGAAACAGTGGAATGCATGTGACATATAAGTAGAAGGGGTTACTGTTGGGAGATGAGGGAGACAAAAGAAGGTCACAGGGGAAGGGCAGTAGAGGGGATGAATGAGAACAAGATCATTCTGTCAACATTTCAGCACATATGGGAAAGGGCTAAGTGAGGTCCTTCTTCCTGGTGAGCTACTGTTAGTCAATGGATGTTAGGATAATGGTGTTGGAAGGTCCTTCTGTCTGTGTGTTGCTTTTATTGGTTAATGAATAAAGAACTGCTTTGAGCCTATGGCAGGGAAGAAGAGAACTGGGCATGGAAAGCTAGGCTGTATGCTGGGAGAAAGAAGGGTGGAGTTGGAGAGAAGCCATGGGGCCGCCAGAGACAGACGCTGGGAACTTTAGCCAGTAAGCCACAGCCACATAGCAATATACAGATTAATAGAAATGGGTTAAATTAATATGTATGAGTTAGCCAATAAGTTAGAAAAGGTTAAGGGGTTGCCAGTGATTTAATGAATACAGTTTCTGTGTGATTATTTCAGGGCTAAGCTAGCTGGGTGGCTGGGAACCAACAAGCAGCTCTCTCCTTCTACAGGGTAAAGAAGCCCTTTTTCTCTGAAGGTAGAGGCACAGGTAAGTTACCATGATCCACTAAATAATTCCACACCCTATACATGTAATCAACTCTGATTAAACTCAGTGGGTTATTGAAACAGACATGAAAGGATTCGGGCTATGTCAGGAGAGGAGTGGGGGATAAGGGAGAGGAACAGGAGGGGGACATGATCAAAATACACAACATTCAGGTATGAAATTTTCAAAGAACAAATTGTAAATTTATTTTTAAAAATAAATGGGAATAAACTACCAGGGACCAATTTCACCTTTTAAGAAATAGTGAGATTGTGACAGTTCTAATTTGCTTTAAGCAATCCCCAAACAAGATATTTCTAACCACTCTTTACCAAAGAGTCCATGTAAGCCTACATATATGTAGGCATGCACACCGATAGAGTGCAGTAAGAGCGGCAACTAGCAATCACAAAGACCTTACTGATGTGTTCTTGGTGCAACAGTGTGAAAGTTAGCACGACCCTCCTTAACGAGGTCCAATTAACTGACATCTTAAAAGTCAGTTTGGGTACTGATTTAGCAAAGCATGAAGAATTTTGAGTAAAGAAAACATTTAAACTTTATGAATTATCAGCAAACGAGCTTGAGGATAAAGCAGCTTTATATGTTATTTCTCTTCTGTCGCTGCACTCTACTTAAATGCCGTAAGAACACATCTAAACAAGGCTTTGGCATTTGTCCATCTGTTTATTATATTGTTCACAGAAAACACTAAATTGTTGTGGATTTTTAAGCCTGAAAACATATAAACCAAGTTAACTTCATTAATAACTAATATTTTACTTGATATTTAATATGAAATTAGTAAAATATCTTACATAGTTTTACATAAGTTCTTGCACTTCTATGTGTATGGATACTTTGCCAGATCTATGTCTGTTGGCCATGTGTGTGCCTAATGCTCTTTGGATGTCAGAAGAGGGGGTCAGGTCCCCTGGACAATTGTCCTGATGCTCCTTGGATGTCAGAGGAGGGGGTCAGATCCCCTGTACAGTTGTAAGTTGCCATGTGGGCACTGGGAATTGAACTCTGGTCCTCTGAAATAGCAGCCAATATTCTTAACTGATGAGCTTTCTCTCAAGACCATAGATGAATTGGGAGGGGGGTATGAGATAGGGTTCCTCTGTGTAGCCTTGGCTTTCCTGGGTTATATGAGTCTTCTTAAAGACATTTTTTAATCTCATTTATTTAGTGTGGAAGGAGAGGTGGGAAGGTACACATGTGCCAAGACTTTGACGTGGAGACCAGCAGATAATTTGTGGGAACAGGTTCTCTCTGTCTACTTTGTGGGTCCCATGGATCAAATCAAATCCTCAGTCTTGACCATAAGCACCTTTACCCTTGGGCCACTCCACCACCCGTTAAGAGCAAACTGAACTTTGAACACTGTTTTGGACAGAACTTTACCTGGATAACTTAACGATTCTCATGCCAATCTGAGCCACGGAATATGGGCAAGCATTGTTGATTTATACAAAAGAACATTCTGCTTATGAAAAAAAATCTTTTCAGTCTATTGCACATCATAAAATAAGAATTTGCATCAAAAGTCTACCTTCTGGAGTTCAAACCAAAATCTGGTGAGGTTAACATTAGACGGAGCTTTCCAGTCTAACTGCAGACTAGTGTTGTCTGGAACCAAGGCAGAAGGTTTCTCCGGTGTATCAAACATGTTAATGGTGACAGCATGACTCTCAGTACACCACATTTCCTCCGAGTGGCAGGCCAGAACCTTTTGTTTAAAAAATAAAATGTTAGCCTTTTCAGAACATGTGCGTAACTATGGCGACTAGAAGTTCCCAGGACACTCAATCCCTCAATACCTTCAACACATAGAGTTGTCCACCAGATAGCTTAGTGACAAGGAGAGCAAGCCTGGCATTTGGAAAATCACCCTGTCTTAGGGGCGTCTCAGGAATCGGAGCCCGGTGCGACATGAGCAGCTGGTAGCGGACTGACTCTTTGGGCCCGTTTGGCCTAGGCGATTCTGTCCATAGGATGTGGAGACTGGTGTCTGACAGCACAGTTGCGTTGATGTGACTAACTGCCCCGGGCACTGAAATAAATAGAAGCAAAGGAAAAGGGACATTGCAACAGCGCCCGGTGGTGGGAATAAGCGAGAGAGTCAGTTGAGGAACGGTGCCGTCATGTGAGCTGAACGAGCTACAGAGGTCCAGAGGAAAGCTGGCCTCTTACATAATGGGAAGTGAGCAGGCTGCCTGAAAAGATGGTGTCTATTTTTGCCTGGTGACCACATCGTTCTCATTGACGCCAGCTCAAGTCTACAGCAAGTGATGAACTACGTAATTCGGGGAAGCTTTGTGACGATCATCAGACACGGCTGAAAGAAAGGAGCTCCACCCTGGACAATTTCGATCTCTTTTTAAGACCGTGGAGTTGTATTACCCTAAGTCTCAGGATGCTGAGGCGCATGTCTCGTTACATCTTGGTTTTCCTGTCTCGCCACATGTGCAGAGACCTAGGAATACATGGGAAGAGAGTGACACTCTGTGGTAAAACTAAAGAATGTGTTTCTTGGTCAAACTGCATTTTGATGCTTCACCTCCCGGTCACTTGGTGCTTTTCTTGGATATTACTCAGCCCTGTCAAGGGCTAGAGCCAGGGTCAAGTCACTGACGTGTGTTTCCCTGAGTTCACTGTTCTTGTCCAACTTTAAACACTCCCATAAAGATCATTACTTAGTATTCAGATAAAGAACACAGACACATATCATGGAATTCCACACTATAAACCCACAACAGCCCATAACTCACCTCCACTTTTAGTTTTTCCATGAATCTCTTTTCCCAGGAGTAAATGTTCTAAAGGATCTGAATAGTAATTCTTCACAGCTACCTGAATCACATATGTTGAAAATGGCTGCAAACCTTCAATACGGGCTACATTCTCCTGTGATTCCTGTAATTGATTTTTAAAAAGAAGTATTTAATTCTTGTGTGTCATACAAATGACTGAAAACAGTTGTCCTGGCTGATTCGTGATACTGCTGTCTTACTATAACAGGTTTGACATGTTTGCCACCTCCATGAATCAGTGACAAATGACTGGCAGTCAGCTCTCAGCAAGTGTGAAATGACTCACTTCACGCAGGCAGTGAGATCCAGAAGAGGGCAGTAGTACTTGTGTTCTCATTGCACTGGGATGTGGGAACACACATTTGCAAACTTAGGTGACCACAGCAAAAGATCAAAGAAAGGCAGTTAAACACTCTCAGAAATAAAGTCTAACGAAGTAAACAACATCCCTGGGGAGCTGGTTCTCGACCCTAGCTGTGCTTTTGAACCAGCCAAGAAGGTTCTGAACACACTGTGCATTGGTGCTGCTCTTAGCAATTCTGATTGCCTTGGTTGGGAGTCACTGACTTACACCTATCTTAATCAATTTACAGACAGGAAACTAGAGTAAATCTAATAACAGAAAGGTCCGGCATCACAACATAGTCTGGCCAGCCAAATGACCCAAAGAATAATGCATGCTTTATGATAACACACAGTATCTCATGCCCAAAGCTGATGATTAATTTCCCCTCTTTGAATTGGTTAAATAAAGCAAGTACAGAGCAAGCTATTGGACACAGATTATTCCATCACTCTGATAACCAACACCAGTATTGAAGTGACAATTCATTTATCCAAGAAATAGTTAGATCGAAGCACAGTGATATGTGCCTGCAATGCCTGACTGTAGAAGCAAGGAATTCTGCAGCAAATTCAAGGTCAACCTTGGGCTTGGGGTTATGGGACTAGTGTATAGCCATCTAAGACTATATAGTAAGATGATGTCTCAGAGCAACAAGGACAATGAGAGAGACTTAATACATACCTACTATTCCACAGCAATTAGGGAAACAATGACAAATTACAAGCAGATATGTCCCTAGAGTATGTGTCACAACACACAGAACAAATAGATAGCAATATTCTATATATTTATGGTAGATAAATGCTGTGAACAGACACATATAATAGTCATGTTCTCTCTGCCTAACTCACTCTTTGCTCTTCTGTTGGATAGCTAGGTCATAAGAACAAGTCTTTATCACTCTTGGAACAATCAAGGAGGGGACCAAACAAGAAACAGTTACTGTAACAACCCATATCTAGTGTTAGTAAATATCCCTATATCTAACTCACTTCCTGACAAGAAGAATAGATACTACATGTGTATGCATATATATAGTGTATATATACATATATATATTATGTGCATACATATATATCAATATATATATTGATCAATTGTTGACTGGAAGAAGTTTTAAAATAGGCATCTCTGTCAGAACACATGGTTGACAGGGCTACGTCAGGAAAGCATATTCTATAAAAACAAAAGCAACAAGTTCCAGGCTTACCAGCATTCTGTGTTTCTTGTTGTGGTTGTTTGTCCTATTAGCTTCTGTATAGTAGACCAGGTATGTTGGTGTGGAGCTAGTGATGCCATGCCATGTGAGATTTGTCTTGACTGGAGGCAATTTGAGTGTGAGGCTGGTGTTTGAGGCATTCAATATAGTTGTCTCTACCATGTCTGAAGCTAAAGACAGATATGCTTTATCTAAAATAATAAGAAAAAAGACACATATGTACAGAAAGAATAAAAAAAACTTTATCTAACAATGGTAACAGCAAGTGTTATAAACAAGTTGGCAGAGTATACAAAACTTTGATCTGAAATGATAAATTCGAAATGCTTTTGGTATCATATCCACTTTGAGAAAGCAAAAATGGCGTGTCTTCTGACCCTGACTGTGGTAATCTATCCTGGATCCTCCTAGTTTTCTCCACGTTCACATGTGTGATGCTGTTTAGGAAAGCATACCCAGAAGAAAACTCATTTTCTGAAGTTCAGTTGCAGCTGGGACAATCATGAAACACAATCTTGGCAGATGTCTGTCCCGTGAACCTTCCAAAGTGGTGTTTGTCTCACTGATAACAAAGGGCAAATTTGCTCTAAGACATCCCTGTCCCTCGCCTTCCTCCTGCAGAGAATGCAGCCATCACGTCACTGGGAGCAGGAGCGATCTTGTAATAACTTATTCAAAGACATGCTAGCAAAGTTTGAGGCTGGCTGGATGGTGGCACATGCTTGCAGTGTTAGCACTCAGGAGACAAAGGCACAGAGGGTCAAGGGTTTGATGCAAACTTCTGTGTATGACAAGCTATTACACTCTTAAACTCACTGTGGCAGTGACTAAATGCATGAGATTGCCACAAAATTTGACAAGTCAACACTCTGTCACTAAAGTGGGAGAGGGGCATAGGGTCTCTTTAAGGATTTATATGCAAATAGTGGTTGATGAGAAAGAGACATTTTAGGCAGTGGCGGCACATGCCTTGAATTCCAGCACTCAGGAGGCAGAAGCAGGCTGATCTCTAGAGTTTGAAGCCAGCCTGGTCTCCAGAGAGACCATATTTTTTGGTAATATGATCACTGATAAGTACACATGCTTCTGTAAACAAACTCTGACTCACATAACTGTAAATAATGCTAATGAAATACATTAGGTTACAAAAAACGAACAAAGCTGGGTGGTAGCGGTGCACGCCACTACCCAGCTTTAATCCCAGCACTTGGAAGGCAGAGTCAAGCAGATCTCTGTGAGTTTGGGGTCAGTCTGGTCTACAGAGTGAATTTCAGGACAGACTCCAAAGCTACACAGAGGAATCCAGTTGAAAAAAAGAAAAGAAAGGAAGGAAGGAAGGAAGGAAGGAAGGAAGGAGGGAGGGAGGGAGGGAGGAGAGGGAGGGAGGGAGGGAAGAAAGGAAGGAAGGAAAGAAAGAAAGAAAGAAAGAAAGAAAGAAAGAAAGAAAGAAAGAAAGAAAGAAAGAAAGAAAAAAGAGTAAAACAAGAAAAAGAAAAAACAAAATAAACTAAAAAAACATGAAAGTAGAAAATAGAGGACGGGGTTGGGCCAGATGGCATGCTGGGTAAGGGTATTTGCTACAAACCTGACAGCCTGAGTTGGCTCCCCAGAACCCACAGTAGAAGAAGAGAAAAACTCCTAAAGATTGTTCTCTGACCTCCACATACCCACCCATGGCAAGCATATACTTGTATTTACATGTGTGTATACACACGCACGCACGTGCACACACACAGTCACACACACACACACAAATAGTAGCAAATAAATAAACTTTTTAAAAAATCATATTAACTAGTAGAAGGTGATGTAACAATAGGGGGTTGTGGTGGCACACACCAGTAGGATTTCCCTGGGAGGCAGAGACAGACAGATTTCTATGAGTTCAAGGACAGCCTGGTCTACAGATTTATTCCAGGATAAAAATATACAGAGAACCTGTCTCAAAAAGTAAAAGTAAAAATAAAAAAATAGAGGTTAAAATAAAGCCATGTAAAGATAAAAAATACAGAGAGAATCTTGATACTGTATGCTATTATGCTCTCCTTAAATTGTTTAAATGCTGAGAAAGAAACAACAGCTACTAAAAGATATTTTCTTATAAATGCTACAAAAGTCAAAAGGTATGTTACTTTGGAGAAGAGGTTTTGCTTTTGTTTCCACAGAAAACGAGAGGCTGTGAATTTATTCAGAGTTAAGAAAAATCAGCTTTGATCAAAGACCACCTAAGAAATCTCGACAGAAATAGATGGCCCAGTTGTCTGAGTTCTTCATCCAGAACAAGTTCAAGACTGCTGCCTAAGATGATCAAGACTCACAGGACTTGATAATAACTCTAAATTTTTTTAGGTTCCCATAAGATTATCAGCGCCCCCAACCAACTGGAAGTAGCCTAAAATACCACGCCCACATTCAAAAAAAATGGACTATGAATATTTTCCTTTGTTTAAAAAAAAGGGGGGAGTGGTGTGGGAGAATTGTCTGTATTCTGTCAATCATGTTTTAAGTAAACGCTGATTGGCCAGGCAGGAAGTATAGGCGGGAAAACCAGACAGGAAGTAGAAATGATACAAGGAGAACAGGAGAATTCTGGGAAGGAGGAAGTTCATTCCTCCCACTCCTGCCCAAATCACTAAAGCAGCAAGATGTGATCTGCCCCACTAAAAAAGGTACTGAGCCACATGGCTAACATATGATCAGAATAATGGGTTAATATAAGCTACAAGAACAAATAAGTAACCTGAGCTAATGGGCCCATCAGCTTTATAACTTATAGAGATCTTTATGTGAATTTTCTTTGGGGCTAAACAGCTGTGGGAACCGAACAGGAGAGAAACACAAACAAGCAGGCCCCTTCATGTTACAAGGTGATTAGGTGGAAGAAGAAGGCAAGATTAAGACTGGGAGAAGGAAATGGGTGTGATCAAAATATGTTATGCACATGTATGAAAATGCCACAAGGCAACCCATCATTATATACAATTAATATATGCTAATAAAAACATTAAAATAAAAATAGCTCTAGGTCAGTTTGGACTTCAAAATCCAAACAACTCAAATACTCCAAAAGGGAAGAACCAGGTCATAAAAACAGTTATATCAAGCAAAACCCAATATCCAGCAGTAAATCAACTCCTATAGCTCAGTCAAGGTCCAGCATCCAGGACTCACTCCTCCATCCAGTAGATCAACTCCTGTAGTTCAATGTCCAGTGTCCAGGACTCACTCACTCTTCTGGCTCCAAAGGGTTTGAAAAGCTCTGCCTCTCTGGCTCTACCATCCATAGCACACACACAGGGTCAGGCCAGCTCCATCCTACGTCTGCCTCCGTCCTTGGTGGTTTTACCAGCCCTGGCATCTCCAATACGCTAAAGTCTCCACACCTGCTAAGGCTGCACCTCTGCCAGCAGCATCCCTGGTCTCTCTGTGTTACATGGTACCATGCCTCAGCAGTTCGTGATCCCTTCAGTCCTGCAGTTCTCATGCCGCCAAATGCCAGTACTGCATGGAAGTCACACATTGCCAAGCTTGGTGGCAACTTGAGATGAATACAACTGGGCAACAGTTTCTGTGTGCTGACCCCAAGGAAATGCTCCCTAGATTTCATCTCTGTGAGACTGGTCTCTTGTTAGTCACGGTTGCCTATTCTGCACCAGCTGACTAGCATCCATTACCCTAGAAAAGCAAAGGCTTCTGTTCCACAGATTCTTAACTCAAGACTATCACACGATAGAGTCTTTGCTTCCCTTTGAAACTTCACAAAGCAGGCCTCCATCACCTGCACCTCTTATTAGGATTCAGGTGTTATTCTGGCCCGTGGCCCCCGTCAGCTGGCAGGATGCTTTGCCAGCACGCAGGCAAATACCTAGCTGACCTCAGAGTCTTACAGGTGCGCATGCTCTTGTCAGGCAAATACTTAGTCAGCCTGGGGGCCTTACACATCATTATGTCATGTGCTATGTGGATACATCACGCATTGTGTGGATGTGTAAGGCTCTGTATGCATGCTTCTTTATAAGCAAGCTCTGCCTTTCCCTTGCTCTCTTACACACGAGTGGACTGTCATGAACCCACCTTTTATGTCTCTATCAATAAACTCCCATGTGGGTTTGTTGTATGCTGTGGTTCATTCTCACCTCTGCTAAACTACACCTCTCTGCCAGGGCAGTACAATAGGAGCTGAGCAGTCAATGGCCTTTTCTAGCCCAAATTCCAAAATACCCCAATAGTCCCCTCCAACAAAAGAAAAACATGGCCAATTGCATCAGAAACACATCTCACTCTCAGCTGCCAATTTCTGTGTTAGTCTGCTTCTCTGCTGCTGTGATATAACACTGGCCAAAAATAATTTGGAGCTAAAGGGGGGATTACCTCTGCTTCCACTTTGTCACTGACATTGGTCACTGAGGGAAGCCAGAGCAGGAAATGGAAACAGGAACCTGGAAGCAGGAACTTGAGCAGAGGCCATGGAAGAATGCTGCTTAATGGCTTGCTCATCATGGCTTACTCAGCCTGCTTTCTTATACAGTCCAGGACCACCTGCCCAAGGGAGGTATCACCCATAGTGGACTGGGCCCTATCACATCAATCATCAGTCAAGAAAATGCTCCCATAGACACATCCAAAAGCCAGTCTGATAGAGACAATTCCCCAGATCCCTTGAATTGAAGCTCCCTTCCCCCAGGTGACTCTGTGTCAAAATGACATAAACTAATCATCACATCATTGCGGCCACTAAAATTATGTTTCTGTCATATACAGCTGGCTATAATTTCCGATCTATTCACCTGGCAGGTACCATGTAAATGTCTTCTAAAATACAGCATCACTGTGCAACACGTCAAGCACTGCAAATGTGATTTTATCTGAAACCTAAACCACCTTACACAGTTCCATGGCCTGCTGTCTATCAGAGTTTGCAACACATCTCCTGTCTACTGTTCTATCTTGCCTTTTGACTATGCAAAGTTATACTTCACTCCGGTCACATTGCACTGTCTGCAAGCTATGGTGTTGTGGGAACTCCTTCAGCCAATAGCCTTTAAGATACCAGCCCACTTCAAGTGTGGTCTCATGTGCTATAAAGGCAGATAAAAAGCGTGTACAGCCCTCTTTGCTGTTGGACTCGGTTCCAGTTCCCAGCACACTCAGAGGAGTGCAGAACACTACCCTTACAGTGAGTTTATCCCCAAATAAATAAACCTTCGTTATACTCCATTCTGGGCTATTGTGAAACTCTTTGGTATGACTATACTGTGCTAGGTTGTCACGTGTCTATTCCCTGGTGCAGACTCCCTCCACAGTCTCAGATGACCTTCCCCATGCTTTATATCTCCTCGGAAGCCCTGTTTATGCCCTAATGCAGGTGAGAGCATTGTCTCAGACAGAGTCCCCACCATACACCCGTTTTCTTCCACCATGGCATTAGACACAGTTTGGGGTGAATGTTTTCTTTCTTATCCACCAGCAGAATGCAAATCTTCTGATTCAGACCAGCCTTGTCCCAGTGTTCCAGAAGGACGAGTTTTACTGCAATTTTTACTAATCAATATTTTCAAGCGATGAATGCATCCTTTGCATCTAAGAAACTTGAGAGAAATGTCTATGCACCAAATATTTGATCAAGCCCAGTCCCTCACTTCCTTGGGAAGGTGACTCCAGTTCTTTACAGAGATAATTACCTAGTTCACAAATATTTGCATACCGTTATAGCTCCTCACACTCCGCATTTCAAATAAATGTTGTAGATCATCAATCATAAGATGTAGGGAATGTTTATGGAAAATTATACTGGTGTGGTGGGTCTAGTTATGAATTCCAGAGCATTACAAAGACTGCTCAGTTAGACTCACACTCTGGATTCCTGGGACGTGTGAGTATAACTTTGAGGACACTGGAAGGATTTGGAGGAGGACAGTATCACTAATGTGACAGAATGGGCCACTCCAGTTACAAGATGCTGTTCACTTGTGTTGACGTCTGGTCTAGATGAAAAATGGGATACCCATATTAGGAAAAAATGAGTGAAAATTGCCTCAATAATTTATGTTACTTATTTTTATTCAAATAATATGGAAGGCATATTGAAATGTTGGAAATGTCATTTGGTACAGAAGGAAAGATTTCCTCTCTCTTTTCCTCCCTCCTTCCCCTCCTCCGTTCCATTCTTCCAGTTTTCAAATCCTATGATTTTTGAAGTCTCAGGAGCAAAGAAACTGGTAATTCCCTAAAATCTCCAGCAGATGGAGGTAAAGTCCCCTTCCCAAAAGGAACTGCAGTGTGGTAAAGACAGCTTTTCTTCCCAAGCTGATGACTGCATCTTATACTGTAATGAGTTTCTGTAATAAAAACTCATGCTACCCTTAGGACCTCTGCTGTTAGGAATGCATTGGAGCTGTTATTTAGCATCAAACAGGGATTTCATGTTGTTTTCCTAACCAGCATTATTTTCTAGTACTGTTTGGGGTTCACAGTGAAATTGATATAAAACTGGAAAGGCCTCTCACATATGTCCCAGTGCATGCATAGACTTTCCATTACCAATCATCAAAGCACCACCTGTTTGACAATCAATGCGCCTACAGGAACACAGAATTACCTAAAGGCCACAGCTTACATCAGGCTTCTCTGCCTGGCTGTCTATTTGATGAGTTAGAAAATGTCTTAGGATGTGAACCCACTCTAATAGTCTCACACAGAGTTATTGCACTGCCCTGAATGTACTGTGCGCTCCACCTCTTTATCCCTTCTTTCCTCCTCCCCTGGGCACCACTGATTTCACCACAGCCTGTCTCCGTTTATTTCTCAACTGTTGTGAAAAACCCTGACCCAAACCAACTTGGGAAAGAAAGGGTTTATTCAGCTTCGAAGTTACAGCACGTTGTTTGGGAATACCAAGTCAGAAACTGAAAGCAAAAACTCATCACGGGACATGGCTTTCTCTGGCTCCCTGTCCTGCTTGCTTGCTTCTCGCCAGACCCACCTGTCTAGGGATGGCACCACCTACAGGAGGTTGTGCCCACCTACAACAAACAGGGGTGACTACCGAGGGGAGCAGAGCGGATGTGGGGAGAAGCTGGGAAGCCTAGATGAAGGAGAAAGAGAAATCAGGAAATAGTATATGGGGTTGGAGCGGTACTGTTTTCAATAAAAGGAGAAAAAAAAAGAAATGCCCCATGGGCCAGTCTGGTGGAAATAATTCCTCAGAGGAAGCTCTCTCTTTCCAGGTGACTCCAGTTTGTGTCAAGTTGAAAAAAACTAACCACACAACCATGGCCGTGGTTTCTACATTTGGGGAACGTTATGCCAGCAGAATCATATAATAGGAGACCTGTTCAGTTTGGTTTCTTTTACTGCCTTCCATGCGTGTGTGTTCTCTCCACATCTTTTCATAACTTCACAGCTCCAAATATTTTACCTTTAGGTTTGTACTTCATTGTTAGCCAATTTTGTAATGATTATAAGGCTCTTTCCCCCAACATTATTTGTTATAAATATTACACTTTCAGCATTGTTTTACATTTGTCCCCCTGTCAAACCCTTGGCTATATTTATGAGGGTCTCTTTCCAAGGTCTCCAGTTGGGTTACGACTTATTTGTCTCTCAATGATAAATGGCCTAGATTGTGGTAACTTTGTGGAAGGTCTTCAGGTCAACTCATGCTTGTAACTTTATTCTTTCCCTTTGATATTATGTAAGCTTCTGTTGTGAATTTGTTTGTCAATGCCCATAGATTGTTTCCTGGATTCTGAGGAGACTGCTTTGAATCTATGTGTCAAACTGGGGAAAGTGAGATCTTAACTACATATTCATGAATGTGGACTCTCTGGCCAGTTATTTCACTTTTCTTCAGGCACTCCCAACCCACCAGAATTTTGTAGAATTTTTCATATAGGTCTTGTACATATTTTGTTAGACTTATATACAAGTATTTCATTGGGGAAATGATAATATATTATCATATACTGGGAGACTTTTGCCAGATCTTCCAGATTCTTTCTATCAGTGGTCATGTTGCCTGGAGAAGAACCCATTGTTATTTCTCTCTTCCCAGTCAATGTGCTCTTTATCTTCTATACAAGATGAAAGACAAGTGAAGTAGATATAAAACATACACACACATGTACAAGCACACACACACACATGAGCAATAAAATTGCCTGTTGCTATCATTGTGAACTAAGAAAGACATTCATTCATTTTTCCCTCGACTACTTGCTTCTCTGCCTCTCTTCCTTCATTATATTGGGCTGAGTTTCTGACCCAAGCCCTTTTCCTTCTTTCTAAACAGCTTCTTTTAATAGTCTTAAAAGTCCAGTCTACTTACCATATTGAATGCATAATACATAGTTCAAAAACACAACACTTGCCTTGAAAGACAGCGGAGGCTTTATGCAATGCTTTTGACATCACCCAAAGGTCTACAACAGACAGAAGAGATGAAGGACAGGAGGAGAGAACAGATCATGGAGTCCCACATCTAATGCTGCCTACTGCAGACCAAGCTGTGTGCATTTATGTTCCCGGGTAAACAGAAGGCATGCTGACAGAGTGTGGGGCAGAAGCAAGAGCCTAACACAGACACTGAAGAGACAGACAGCCTTGGAGAAGGAGATGAGCGTGTTGTCAGGACAACTCTGTTACCTGGAAAAGGCTGCAGAACTGAGCTGTAGGCCAAGATATGCTTGCTCCCAGGGGCCTTCACCTGGGAGACCACAGCCCCACTTCCCTTCTCTGCTTGATAAATCTGTGTGCTGTCCTTTATTGCAATGATCCAATACACAAATTCTCCGTCCACTGTTAAGCTAACAATTCTTTTTCCTGTTGATTCAAGCCAAAGAAAAAAAATTAAAGGATAAAGAAATCAAATGATGTAAAATTAGACATCTTAAGTTTTCCCCTCTAAATAATATATAAAGTTATTTTTTCTACAGGAAAACTGCTAACTTTTAAATATTACAATATGAAAGTGATTATTATATGGCATTTGGCTCACTAATGTTTCCTCATTTTGTTTCTGGACCGTCCCAGTGAAGTCAAAGTAAACACTGTCATTACCGGTTCTATTTGAATACACTGCTCACAGCCACAGGTTAATTAAGAGCAGAGTGAGTCTAAAAACCTGCCTCCGACATGATATACATTCCTACAAGTTAGCGAACACCCAAAAAATAACACAGACAATTGTCGTTGCTCTTGATTGTATACCAGGACCAGATAGTAAGATTCTGCTGTTGAAGACAACAGACACTTAGGTTAGGAAACATAGAGGAATCAAACCAGTGCCCTGTTGGCTAGCTCTCGTAGCACTGAAGGTGCTATGCAGGCCACTAGGGTTGAGGGAGAGCCTTTCATTGTATTGCCCAAGAGGGCACCCTGAACACTCTAATGCTACCACAGTGGCACAAAGGTTATGGGGTAATCAACCCTTTCTGAATGGATCTGCGGCCTGCTCCAGAGGAAGGAATCCATGCCTGGTACTGTTAACCTGCTCAAAGGCCACAGCCAGAAAGTCTTAGGTCTCTGCGAGTAAATGTCTTCCTTTGTGTGGGAGCCCACAGTGACTCTATCTCCATCTTGGCTTAAGGTCAGAGGTCAAGCTTGTCAAGGCCACATAACAAGATGTTTGACCAAAGGTGTGACTACTAGACATCTTGTTCCTCAAGACCAAATAACAGGATTTTTAACAAAGGGTGTGGTTACTAGATGTTTTGAGTATTAAGGAAGTGATTATACTTGTTTGTTCCTTGTAAAGACTTCCAACAGGTAAGGAAGTCTTTTGCCCTCCCCTTTACGCTTTGGGTATAAAAGGACGATGAAAACTAAATTAAAGGCCACTACAGTACTCACTGAGAACCTTCCTGACTCCTTCTTCTTTCGTCTCTTTCTTTTCTCAGTCCTCACTCCCCTTTTCTGGCATGTTTGACAGTTTGACTGGTTCCGACATCTTTGTTTTGCTAAATAGACGTGTTGTCAAACTGCTTCTAAATAAATTTCTGTTTATACCCATAGGTTAGTGCTTCCCACAGCCTTTGCCAGAGAAGTCTCTATATGCAGTAGGCAGCAGTTAATGCAGAGACTTTACCACTGTCAAAGTGGTAAGAATGAGTTAATATTGAACGCCCTAACACACACGCACACAAACACACACACACACACACACACACACACACACTCATTCACTCAACTCAGGAAACATCAAGTCTTGACAGAGGTTTCTGTCGCACCTGGTCCCTCAGCCATTCAGTCCCAAAGAAACACACAGAGGCCTCCATTAATTATAAACTGGTTGGCTTGTTAGCTCAGGCTTCTTATTAACTAACTCTTACTTCTTAAATTAACCCATAATTCTTGTCTGTCTTAGTCACATGGCTTGGTACCTTTTATCTTGCTTCCTCTGGGTCTGGGTGATGGCTACAGACTGAACCTTTCTTCTTCCCAGAATTCTCCTATTCTGGTCACCCTGCCTATACTTCCTGCCTGGGTACTGGCCAATCAGCATTTTATTAAACCAATACAAGCGACAAATCTTTACAGGGTCCAAGACCATTGTCCCACAGTAACCAAGAAAGAGGGACAAAAGGAACAAAAGAGCTGGAGGAAGAGGGCTGTGAAATGCAGTCTTCTGGCAATAACTTGAACACTGCATGTGCTCACTGAAGCTATGGCTGCTTACACAAGATCCAGCCTCCCAACAAGCAGCATTAGTTGGGCTCAGTAATTATGAAGGGAGGAGGAGGCTATTTTGGGGTGCCTTGGAGAGGTGGGAGGAGGGAGTTGAAGGGAGATATGATCAAAAAACATTGTTTAAACATACAAAATTATAATAAATGGGAAAAAGTAAATCTGTCTCTCTTACTTTAAATTAAACAGCATAAAACCATCAACAACAGATGGCACATACAAGACTCATGGCCTTGCTCAATATTTGCATCAATGGCTTGGAAGAAATGCATAACACCAAGCCTTATCATATTATAGATTATATATTATTTTTCACTTTCACGAATGGGTTTAGATATAGGCTTGAAATTCAAAACTATCACAACCACATCAAGAAAAAAAATGGTCATATAATGAAACAAAATTCCTAAATTCAAACTGAAAAATCAGTTTTATAAAGTCAACAGATGAAAGACATCTGGCTTAGCTATGTGTGCAGAACAAACTGTGGTCTTTTGATGTGGTAAGAACTGCAAATATATGATACTAGTTTCAAGTGCCATCATCCTTCGGTGTCTTCCAACTTTGTGATAGAGTGCATTTGGTCTGTAACCTGACCAGATAGGTTATAGTGGATGACAAGTGGCCTTCCAGTGACTCCCCTGTGTCTGTCATCATCACGCCATTGTGGCATTACAGATGTGTGTCACCATGCACTAGCAACCCAAACTCAGGTCTTCACAGTTTCAAGGAAAGCATTTCACTGATTGGTCAATGTGTCCAAACCTGCAATAATCCTTTTTTGTTTTGTGTATAGGTCTTAATATGTGTGTGTGTGTGTGTGAGAGAGTGTGTACATTCTCATGTATGTACATTGTATGTACATGATTCACTCAATATCCAAGGATTACCTTGAACTTCTTATCTTCTTTATTTTACCTCCTAAGTACCTCCTAAGTGCTTGAATTACAGATGTGTCAACAGGTTTACTTTTATGAAGTGCTGGCTTCATGTATGTATACATGAGCATGCACTTATGTGTATATGTAGAGGCCCAGGCTCAATTCACTATGGGTTTTCTTCTAGTAACTAGCTGATCTCTAGGTTAATCAAATTTTCAATGAGGATTAAGATTATAGTTTGTTTGTTCTTTTGGATTGGTTTGGTTTGGTTTGGTGTTGTTGGTGCTGTTTTTAGACGGGGTCTTTCTATGTAGCCCTGGCTGTTCTGGAAGTTACAATATAGGCCAAGCTGGCCTTGAACTCACAGAGATCTGCCTGCCTCTGCCTCCCAAGCACTGGAGTTAAAAGCATGTGCCACCATGCCAAGATAAGATTATAATTTTAATTGGTAGTTGTGGGATAAAATTTTATAAACCCAGAGTTTATCACTTCTGTTAGACTGGAGGGGATTGTCCTGTCTCCACCTCCCCACTGCTTGGATTACAGGTGTGCATCAACATCTACTTTTTAAGTGGGTACTAGTGATTCAAACTCTGGTCCTTGTTTTTCTACAGCAAGCTCTTTACTAACTGTGCCATCTCCCCTTCCCTTGAAAGTTCTTTCTAATGGATGGGAAGAACTGCTGTAATAAATGAGGATACACATGCTGGGATATAGCTCAGCTGAGACTGCCTAGCACACACCACTGGGTTTGATAGCCAGCACTTCATAAAACTAAACCTGGTGACACACATCTGAAATCCAAGCATTTAGGAGGTAAAAGAAAGAAGAACAGAAGTGTAGGGCCCTGTCTTCCCTGTTCCTCGAGGCCAAAACACAGGATGCAAGAATTGTTTACGCTAACCAGCTCAGCTTCCCCTGCTCATTCTGCCAGGGGAATTAGTTCTAAGTCTTGTTTCTGTCATTGCTATGATAATTTCACCTGCTAAGAAGGTCCTCACAGGCGCCCTAAATCTCCTCCCATCTGTCTGTCAGGGTTCCCAGCTCGATACCCCCTGCATGGAGGCTCAGGCTGCTGGTGCCAAGCGGTCAACACCCCTCTTCTCACTTCCAGGTGGGAGGGGGCTCTCGTCCTCTTGCCTCCAAGTATATAAGCCTACATGTGCTGAATAAAGATTGACATTTACCCTTTGGGCAAATGATCCGATCTCTGTGTGTGTGTGTGTGTCTGCTCAACTCCTAGGATATTGATCCAGACTCTTGACGGCCTGGTACAGGAAGCGCGCCCTGTGCCAGGAGAGTGAGGTTTCACAGAAAAGTGCCGAGCACAGAAGTTCAAGGGCATCCTTGGCTATCGAGTACATTTTTGGCCACCCTGGGATACCTGAAACCTATTTTTAAAAGAGGAAGAAAAGATATATGCATGCATCAGCACATTACCAAGGATGGCAGGCACCATAGTGATTTTCCAGCATTGACATCCTTCCAGATCCATGGCCCAGATCTCTTGCCCTTTGGTAAAGTATATCCATGGTCTGTTTGGGTCAGAGGTATCAACAGTCATTGCTCCACCTAACTCAGATTCCATCACATTACAAGAACATTGGCTCCTTCCACTTGGGTTTGAGGCCTTGGGTTGTAGAACGTGGTGCAACGTGTGATTGCTAATACTGCAGTAGAACATCCGATGGCCCAGATCTGAAACTTCTGTCCAATACAAGCGACTGTAAGGAAGTGGTGGGGGAAAAAATCCCTTTAATTTAATGAGGAAAATATGTCACTTCAAATAGGAGTTAGCAATGAAGATTTCACATATAATGAGAGGACAGATGAAACCTTGGCAGTAAACATGTCCAAATATAAAATAACTTCCTTCTGAGATGGAAGAGGTCACAAGAAGTTCAACTCAATGTTGCCCAATGTTTTTTTTTTTTTTTAATAGCATATTACAGCCAAAGCGCTGGGCTCTATAGACCTTGAACTCGTGGTCTGAGCACCTTCAGTGGCCATCAATGGCTATAAATTCAAAATATATTTTCATATTTTTCCACCCTCTTCCCATTTCTGTTTTTTAAGGGCAATAAGCAACCTAGTTTTCAAAACGGTCTATTTCCATGCTTATGGCACAAATAAAAATATCCTCTCCAAGCTAGGAAATTGGTACTCAGTTGCTGAATGGAGGTCCTAAGACTACATTATAGAGATAGAAATTTTATGAAGATGGATGGACCTAGAAGAGCTTTAGCTCAACCACAGCTGCTGGCCACCTGTGCTGTCCATCTGGCCACCTGTGCTGTCTTTGTCTCCATCTACTTCCTGCTTTTATCACCTGCAGCTGTTATAAAATTCACTGATTAAAAATTTGCTATGGCTTTCCTTCTGGCAATTAGCCCATCTGCAGGCTAGTCAAATTTTCAACATGCATTATAATTATAATCTTAATTGTTGGTTTGGGATATTTATGTTTATGGGATATTTATATTTAAGTTTATGGAGCCTCCATGAGAATTCTATCTCTGAGCCTTGTTTCTTACTCTCATTTTCTAGATTTTGAGTTGGGGGGGTGTTACTAAATCACTGTGGTTGGCCTTGAACCCACAATGTTCCTGCCTCTGACTTCTGAGTAATGGGGATGACACATATGGATTACCAAACTTGGCTCAGAATTATTTATTGTAAATTAATATATCTCCCAACCATGCAACCCCAGTCCCTGGGAGCTGAGATAGGAACAATAGGAGGGAATTCAGGTCATCAGTGGCTACATAGCCAGCTCGATGTCAGAATAAGTTACATAACATGCTCTTACAAAACTAAAAGAAAAGTTAACCATGAGCCTTAAAGCATCTTATTTCCCCTTTATTAGCTTCTAATAGTAAACAAAGATATCACATCAATATATATCTATTTCATCATAATAAAGATATTCATACCTTAAAAGGGGATATACGGCGAAAGAAATTATTGCTGAATGCCTTTTGCAAATCTTCAGCTCCCTAGGAGATTTCACCTTGTATTCAAGATCAACTCTGAATATCTGTGTTCCATCTTGAGATGCTTTCAGTGCAAAGTAGAGGTGCCTTGCAATCCAGTCCACTGCAATAACTGCAACATCAGAAACCAGAGCATCCTGGAAAAGCTGAACACGGGGTAGAGAGTAGAGGGCACAGCTAAGAAGAGCGCTGATCCTTTCCATTTGGAGATTCCTGTGGCCATTCATATTACTATGCATTGAACTGCTCTGGAACCTCCAGCCTCGCTCTTCCGGCTCTGCGACAACAGTAACTCAAGCCGTCTTCTCACATTGTGTATTCATTTAGCTTATTTCAGCCGCTTGGTCTGATCTGCAGAGCAGGGCTAAAACTCCTCATCTTCAGACATGATGATCCATTCAGTTAGGGACTCGAATGCCAAACTATCTTTTGAATGCTTCCATGTGAGTTACTCCAAAAATAAGAACCAATCACCCCTTTTTCTCTTGCGCATCACATTGTTAAGAATGTCCACTATTAACCCCAGGAGTCATTCTGCTTGTATGTGGATCCCCTTTCATTTTCTTCTCAAATCACTACATGGGGAGCTAGTCTCTGAAGATCCCTCCCCAGCTTAGCATCTCCTTTCTCATTTCATTGACTGTCACCTAACAATTTCTGTGACTTCCACTGCTGAAAAATAGAGCATTCTAAAGCATAATTTGAAGTTGGAAGTCACAGTGCACATCTGCAAGGCCAGTACTGCCCAGGTGGAAGGAAGAGAAACAGGAGGTCAGTGTTAGCCTAGGTCGCACAGTTAATTTGAGGCTCAGTCTGTGCTATGCAAGACTCTATCTTAAGAAAGGAAGGAAGGAAGGAAGGAAGGAAGGAAGGAAGGAAGGAAGGAAGGAAG